CTGTGGTCGCCTGCGATGAAATGGGATTTGTATAAAGGAGGTTTATCTGTCAAAATTATGCCATAGAATTAGCTGGAAAATCGCTTTGCGATAGACACTTTGATGGTCAGCACTAACTTCCCCTTAGTAGTTTCATTTGAGTGTATCCCGTTGAAAAACACTAGGTTCATCAAAACGTGGTAAGTTTGAGGACCACCTACTGTTATTTCTATCAACCAGGGTTGAAATACGATAAAGCTGCGGACAGGTATAACACTGGAGTTCATGCACACCGAAAAAGCATTAACTTTTCTAGTCTTACTAGCCCAGGTGTAGCCTGCAATGCTATGCGTCATCAAATAGAGGCTGCCAGAAATCATCACCCATGGGAATACACTACCTCTCCAACCTACGCTTTACTAAGGTACCAGGTGGATTTTACTGGGCTGCATCATGCATGAAATCGGTCTTATCGTCCCACTAAGTGTCTCCTAAACTGAAACCAGAGGGTTCATCCAAACGAATTGACTTCAGAGATTGTACATAAAGCGGGTGGCGTGTGGATAAGCATATGTGAGCCATGAGCTGCCATTCGTGATAGGTTGATGGTGAGGTAGTGAATAAGTCTCTTCAGATGGGGATCGTGTCTCTTGCTGAGAATCAGTTGAGTTGGTGAGGAGTATATGCCGTTTCCAGTGTTCGTGAGCGGTGCTCAGTGAATGCTGACCGTTATAATTAATTACTGTTGGCGAAATTCCACACTGTAGTCAGAAAAAATAAAAGCCGCACAATTAAGACAAACTTCTGGTTTTTTATGCGAAAAATCCGAATAATTTCTATTTAGCCAGTTCAGTTACACCAAGATTTGCAGTGGATGTGTACTTGACCTGGCATTTAAACCCAAATGTCTCCGTGTATTCTTAAGTCTCCTAACGTCAGTTATCCACAGGTGCTGGATCATGCAAGAACAGAGGTTGCCTGTGGGTGTAGTAAGGAATATTTTTACAACATGGTCTAATTCAGAGGTAATAATAATAAGTCGGTATGGTTCAACTAGATTAAAAACAAACATGGATTTGCAACGCTGGCGTCAAACAAGGCAGTGGAAATTGCACATCACAATGGGCACTACTTCACCTACGCTAACAACGGGATGCCAGGAGGAACTAAGAGCGGATGCTTGCCAGTGAGGAGACGAGCATCCGGAGCAACAACACGGCAACTTCCATATAAGCCAGCACACTGCACTAAGTGCAGAATTTGCTCTAGCAGTAGTGTGGGAGACCGTAAAAGCTCAAACCAAGTCTGAGAATGGTGTATTCCCACCCGCGCGTAGGCGTGGTTTTTATTATTAGTGCATGTCTGCCGTCACATGTCTTGGATGAGCAAATGTTCGTACCTAGCGTGACTGTATTCCGGAGGGGGTAACAGTTCAGAGACAGAGGAGGAGGACTGGAGGCATACACCAGCACGCGCCTAGAAGCCAAAAAGGTGACTGAAGATGTGTACACTCGATTGCCACACTCTGTGGGGCTATTTTGCCACACGAGCACACACCACGAGTAGAACACAAGTCTCCGATGTGTCCAGTTAGCATAAAGGTAATAGGATCACCGCGATTTTAGCATTTAATTCAGCAAACTTCTGCTTGGAAAAGGCACCGGAAACAAGTGTTTTGGTCAGGTGATTCTACATACCTTTGTGCTAGTCGCAGAGGAAATTAGGGAGAACGCTTGGCAAAGACCATATAGAAAATGACCGCGGTTTGACGGCATCCCAACAAAAGACGGTCGTTTTGTGAAGGATATCTGTGTCCAACCCCATGCAGTCGAATGTGATGACGCATTGGAGAAACTCTACTTGATGATCGGAAAGGAACTGTCCACGGTCACACCTGTAGCAATTCTCCGCTACCGGAAGGCAGCTTACCAGGTTATGGAAAACGAACTACTAAACGCGCCACAGCCACGAAAATGGCATGTTCTTACTAAATCTACTAAATCTTACAATCTGCATGGCCGGCGCTACTCAGTAATCGTCTGGTGAAACTTCTTTGTACATACTCAGGTCGTGAGTTGTCCTCGTTGCTCATGCTAGAAAAAACGAGTGAGCCATATTCCAGCGTTAGTCTGACATAAAGTTTAAAAAGCGCCCACTTTAGCCTCTTTTGCACAGAAGCTCTTCAAAAGAAAACCCAACTATCTTCTAGTTTCAGAGACGATGAATGAGACATGCCCAGTGAAGTTAAGATCACCAGAAAACTAAGCACCCAGATTGCACACCCTATTATGTTTGAATTTGTTATCTCCTAAAAACTATGCGATTCTGCGGTAGATTTTCCCAGAAAAAAATATTTATTTACTTAAGTGGAGAATCCCACATTTTCATGGTTCAGTGCAAGTCGCCGTTTCTCACCCCAGTCAAGTAGAATATTTAAACCAGCCTGAGACGCTGACACACCGTTAGCAGTTGCATCGTACTGGAGCTGTGGACAATCTTAAGGTAATCTTTATGAAGACGTGACTTTCCACAATTAACCTTCTTCAATTATAATTGGTTTACACGAGTAAAAGAAGTGGACCAAGTACACTTCTTCGGACCACTACGCTCGTAATAGGTTGAAAGTTTAAAAAGCAATCGTTTAATTTGGCCATTTGAGAATATCCATAAAGAAATGCTTCAAACAAGGAGGACGTGATGTTGATGATACATATTCCATAAGGAACCGAACTTTCTCATCTAAAAGCTTTAGGCAAAGTACATGAACATGCATAAACTCTGGCAACAATAGATTAAGACATGGCAGAAACCGGTCTAAGCGGCAGTTTTACGATCTAAAAAACCATACAAAACTATGTCAGTGATGAAGCTGACAAGCAGAGTCCTAACCTTATCAGAGAACCAAACAACGAAGTGTTGAGTAGTAGGGCGATATTGAAACTATTGGTTCAACGATCTGATGAGCTGGTCCACACACTGGCCCGCCGGTTTCTGAAGTTCATTAACGCAACATAGTTTCAGGACTGTGGTGCAAAGTGGGTAGATAGGTGGATTTCTCCCTACCGAATGGTTGCCAAGCTGTCCACAGTCAGAGTAGTAAATCTTTAGGCTGCGATGACACGGGGCCAGTAGTCCTACGAAAGCGTGGTGAAGTGCTAAGTCTACCCACATCCTATACGCTTACGCACTCTTTGTAAGAGAGCTATCTTTTCGCCAGTCTTCAGTGGTGGAGGCCGAAATAAAGCTAATGCAACCACAAACCAACAGCTTTACTGCCCGTAGACCGAAAGTCATTGGGAAGTCCGGTCGCAGATATCGTTTTGCACTGCCTAGACAGAATAAAGCTTGTTCACCCCACCAAAAGATGGCTGCGGAACCTAGTGGTTATATCCCATAAAAAGTATGACCGCTTGGGATAACTGCATCGATGGGCGGGACGATTAGCACCCAGTCCACGTCATCTTTCTGGAGTTTGGCAGAGCTTTTAATGGCTGTAAAGTGGGCATCGCGGAAATACTCATGGCATGGGCTCAGCAAACCTGGAGGAAAGCGAGTTGTTCACTAAACTAAACAGAACTCGGCCGTCCTGGTGGGGGACAAAAACAGAACTTTCTCAATGACCTTCCCCAAGGTCACTCCAACTTTTATTACTGTTCATAACCAATTTTTTGTACGAAACCTCCCCATCTGTCCTTCTGTTTGTCCATGGCATCAAAATATGTTGGCAAGTAGGTGAGGAGGAGGACCGTAGGACACCCCAAGATGACCTGCTAGAGTCCAAATGCTGTCAGCCAGGAATGGTTTGGATTTCAACCTGTGCAAGTACAGGGCGCTGTCTTCAGACACCAGAAGTGAAAAATAACCATGCCATCAGAATTTATGAACCCACCAAAGTTCCCACAGAGAAGAACCTATGACTCAAAGTCTACCACATAATAGATACCAGTGGCAACTACAAAAGAATGTCGGCAAAGGTGAAAACTTTCGTGCACTTTTTAAGGGGGCAACTTGCAGCCCCAGCCCTTGAATAACTCTCAGTGGTACTTCAAACTCAAGTTGGGCCACAATGTGAGGTATTCAGCATGACAGTCCATCTTCTACCAAAGAGCTGCTTACACCTGAGAAAGTGCATATCGGGGCGACAAGGTTAGTTGTTGGACTAGCGGACAAAACGTCAATAACACCTTGGGTAACTCGACTCGTTCACCTAATAACAGCCTACCGAATGATCCATCAGGCGAATCGTCTCAGCTGTGTAACACCACTGGTCCACAACCAACAGTCTTACGTTAATCGCACTATCACAGCCCGCCAGAAGGTTAGGTCGATGGTCACGTCCAATTTATTCTCTCGCAATGTGGTATGGAACTCCCTGAAGAAGAAAGTAGTCACAGCCGCTCCCTGTGATGATTTCAAAGGAATTCTCAGTAAATGCATCAGCATAAACGGCTCGCCATCAACACATCGGTAGCAGTGAGCGGGTACTCATTCACCCACCTGTAACCCAACCAAGGGATCTACGCTTTGAACCACGCCCTTTCCATATTATTAATAGTAGTGGTTATCCCCACAAGTGCCTCGTACTCCCTTTTTCTGACAAATTACTTGCCCGTTCCCCTGCACCACGTTGTGAATAACGCTTAATACTTACTTGCATCCGCCAATAAAGACAAGAATTACAAAAGGTTAACTAGTCTTATGAGGAGTTCCGTCGCTCCCCTGTACAAACAAATCACCATAGAATTCGGCGAACGAAACCCCCATACAAATAAAAATTACCTCCAAAGCTATAAGTAGGTAAGCAGAAAAGACTTTTATGGCTGTAGAGGGAGAATAACTGAATAAAAAGAATTGTGCCTAAAGACCAAGTCGTGACAGTTCAAAGACTTCACGTTTTCTCTGCTCCCACTGTTGATTCCGGACGTAAGAAAATGCCACTAGGTCCAAAGGTCCTAGGCAACTTTGCTTCCTGAGACTGTGTCGTGTTCAGAAGCTTGAAACTGTCTATGTTTAAATGAAGCACATAGAATAATTTCTTGGGGTTACGCGCTGCCTGTGACTTCTTTGCACTCGATTATTTTGAATTCATAGGTAAAGTTGGGTTGTAAGTGACTTCTGTTAGTCCTGTAAGCATTCATTTTCCTTCAGATATCTGTCAGTATTATGAAGTAGAATATTTTCCTAAGTAATCTGTAAATTTTCATATTTGTTGGAGATAAGTCAATATATTGACTTATATATATATATATATATATATATATATATATATATATATATATATATATATATATATAATTAGTATCTTCATCAATTTTAGTTGTACTTGCGATTGTGAATGCGAATGCGGTTCATTTGCTTTTTTATAGAATTTCAGCCTTAAGTATCAAAATGAGTTTCTGAAATGATTTATCGCTTATTGAGATAAAATACACTTAGTTGTAGCTCAGGTGAATGGTTTTGGTTTTGTGGATCCATGTTTTTTTTACAAAGATATTTGAATATTCCTTTTAATTATCCTTAATAGATTTCTAAGAGCACTCCAGGATTATAATAGGCTGTATAAAATCCCTACTCAGCAGTTTTCACTAGGATATTTCTAACAAAATTTGCTTGCAAGCACTTACTTGGAGATTAATTGTCGTCCTATAAGAAGTTTGTTGCTAATTTTTTTCATGTTTCAGCAATTTCGAAGTGAATAGCAAACTAGGGGAGATAAGATATAAGAGCCAAAACCAGATAAGTTCCCTTAAAAAAATGATAACATTGCTTAGATATCGGTGAATAAGAGAGTAAGTGTGAGTTTCCTTGATTCATTATGCTGGCACTCATACTCAGATGCTATTCAGCACTTTTGTCCGGGGAACATTACCTGTATCTTTACTCCTGCGATGAAAGTATAACTTCATGTCCTGAGGATACGCAGATCACACAGCGAAACCCAACCAGCAAAACGTAGGGTTGTGGAGTGTTGACCGTGGGATCTCAGACATTTACCAAACGAATTTCCATACTGTGCTGAAATTTATCCCATAAGTCTTATTTGTGCAACTAAACTTCATTGCTAAGATACATCCGGTGTAATAGGCTTGTTCCCGCTGATTTCATCAAGCCACTAATGAAATAAATTTGGTTAGAAGGTCCTCTGGAAATCCTAAAAAATCAAATCTGAGCAATAAATGAAACTCTATGCTACGGTTGATTATTATATCAGCAAATAAATGCATGTAAATTGGCTTAACTTTTTCATTCTAACATCGATGATAAACTAAAACCCGCTTATAAGGTGTACATCATATTCACCTTGTCTGTAACCATTTTGCTGTTTCATATTTTATGAATACGCCGGGTATCGTTACAATGCATTCTCAAAGTTAGGTTTGGTGCGATTCTTTCAGTAAGTCAATAACAACATAGAACCAAGTTACCACATCTCACATCAGCACCTCAAGGTACGACTCATCAAGATGAAAGATAAGGAAGTAAAGAAATGAGGAAAGTTATGGAGACTTATAAGAGAAGAAGAGGGAATGACAATAAAATTAAGTATGATGACTGAGATATAGATAATATATGGATGCATCTTCGCCATCTCAATCTGTTTTGAGCCATATCACCTGGAGTCTCCAACCGCCGATTTCCGCGGTCACACGGACCTCAGTCGGGAAGTCTGGGTTTTCTCACACGCTTCAAACCAACAGAAACTTCATGGACTGATGGTGTATTTTACTCAGGTTCCCTCTAACCCCTTTCCACCTCAAACCTATTTTAGCTTATGTTTCGCGGACGATCACTGGGCATGGTTAACACATGCCAGCCATGTGTCGATAAAAGTTCACAGCTTCTTCACTTAACTTTCCTCTTCTGTCGAAAACTACGCTCAATTTTTGTGTTACTGACGTGATGGGATCACAGCTCATGATCTATGCTAGAAAGGCAACGATGGTCAAACGCCTGAAGCCTTCTCATTTCCTCTACATTTAATGGTCATGCTTCAGGTTCATACAGTAGTACACAGCAAACTACGACACACTACGTGTCCCTTAGTTGTCAAACCGGTATCAAGGTGACACCAAAGATGGCCTAAGTTAGCATAAGCCAAGCGACCGTTTTTTATTCATGCGAAGATTTCAGCGATCGCGAACCAAACAGTAAATAAGATGGCTACCTTACTCAACCACTTCCCTCCCCATATTAGATGAGGCACAAGGATAGGCTAGTCCTAGAGCATCAGTTTATCTTTGGGTGGTAAGAAACGCATCCTAAGCATTTTCAAAATGCTACTTAGGGCGTCCAGAAGGTTCTGAGTCTTGTCAGTGTCATCACGTAACAGAAATACTGAGGAGTCTCGTGTGACCAATTCCATCCTATTAGTCAGATGAGGAAGGGTAGATATCTGTAAGCATATCTGTGACCCATTTTGATAACATCAAGATTAACATAAGACCAGGCATTACTACGTGACGGTCCTATTTGTCACACTTCATATCAGCACATCAAGTAACAAGGCAATAAAATGGAAGATGGAAAGAAAAATCGGTCAAATGAAGTAGAATTAAAAAGTAGTAAAAGAGAGGAAAAAGAAGTGAGAAAGTGATTTGATTAATTATAGAGGTTAAAATGAGAATAATGTGTGTATACATCACCAGTGACATCGGTTGTACGCCATATCACCTAGAACCTCCAACCACTGGCTTCTCTTGTCCCGCAGACCCCAACCGGCTAGTCTGCAGCGCCCTATCTGGCTGAAACGGACAGTCAAGGACTTCATGCATTGATACCATATTTTAGTCATGGCGCCCGAGCCTTTCTCCGGCTTTCAGCTACGTCGGCCGACAAGGTAGACGGTAGTTAAGCATACGTAACATATGTCAGCCATATCAATCGATGAAGGTTCACAACCGCATCAACTGCCTAGAACTCTATGCCTAACTTCTGCGTTACTCATGTAGTGACACCACAAAACACGGTCTATGTTACGAAAGCAACGGCGGTCGAACACCTGAAGTCTTTAATGTATCCTAGTTATAATGGCCATGTTTCAAAGCCATACAGTAGAAGAGAGCGGACTGCAGCACAGTACATTTGACCCTAAATAGACAATCGGATATCGCGGCAGCACCACAGATAGTGTAAGTTGGCAAAAGCCAACCGAGCCGTTTGTATCTGTGGAAAGATTTCGTCGGCCACTGACCAATGCACCAAGGCTGATCCAATTTCCCAGGTAAGTGAGGTGTTCAACGCACTGAACCACTTCAGAATCCATTGTTAGTAAGGGCATAGTTGAAGACCAGTCCTGGGGCAAAAGTTTGCATTTGGGTGGTGAGAAACGCATCCCAAACATCCTCAAATTGCCACTCAAGGTGTCCAGAAGACTCTTCATCTTGTCATCATCTTCATCTAACAGGACTATATCATCTGTTTATTCTAGGTCTATCGAGAATTCTTCTGTGATTAGGTCAATCCTTGTGTAGTGAGATGTCGAAAGGAAAACCTCCATGGGAATGTCTATGACAAAATTGAATAAGAATAGAGGAAGTGGCCATTTTTGACAGGTACCACTTGACATCTACAGCTTACCTGACATCTCATCATGGGGAATAACACGTTCACAGGTGTTTGGATAAAGAGCCGTCAAGAGGGTGATGTACTGCTTCGGTGCTCGTTTCAGTGAGAGATAGTGCCACAAGACTTGTCGATCGATGGAGTCAAATGTCACCTTTAGGTCGAGAAACACAGCTAGTTTCAGGCGTTGGTAAGCGTGCCTGTGTTCCAGAATCTGGTGGAGTGTAAATATTTGGTCGATACACCCATGGCCAGGTCTGAAGCCTGTCTGATTTTCTCGAGCTTGCTTTCTCAGGCTTCACTCAGGTGTCTAGTGATTACAAAACCCAGAATCTTAAGCTGTTAATCAGACTGATTCCTCTGTGGCTATCACAAGAGGACTTCTCGTCTTTTTTAAGGGCTGAGATGATTATTGATTAAGACCAGTTAGAAGGGATCATATTTAACTCCCATACACTAGTTAGTACTTCAGTTAACTTGACTCTACCACTGTCCCTATATACCTCAGAAACTACTCTGTCTGGTTCTGCTGCTCTTTCTCGTTTCAAGTTACCTGCCGCTTTTTCGACTTTGCAGATATTGGGGAAGGGTTATCTCAATGCCCCATTCAAGACCCGAATGGATAGCAGGCAACGCAGTTGTTGCTGGAGGTCAGTTGAACTGTTCCTCGGAGTGTTCTGCTCATCGTTCCAGTTGTCTTCCTTGCGCGTGAATCACAGACCCATCATTCTCCGTTGTAGTCTCACTAACTGTTGGTCTTTTCACCCGAGTTTCCCTAGTAAGTCTAAATAATTCTCTGCTGTTACCTATCTCCATCTCTTTAGCCTTCGCTGCCCACCACTGTTCGCGATCACTGCGCAGACGTTTTGCTAGTCAACATCTGAGTTGCGTTCGCATCCCTCTGTGTTCAGCTGCTTAAACCCATGAGCCACAGCTCCACCTTTCCGTCTGAGTCGAATGTCACCTTCGGGTCAGAAACAGCTAGTGTCTATCACAAATAAGTATCTATATTAAAAGACATGGCGAAGAGTGAAAGTCTGGTCGAAACATCCGTAACCAGCTTTGAAACCCGCCTTGTTTTATCTTGTTTGCAGTTCCTGAGCTTCACTTTTGCTTCTGATGATTATAGCACCTTGGATCCCATAGCTTATGTCTGTCAGACTGATCGCTCATTGGTTGTCACAGCAGGGCACCCGTTAATTTGTTTGTTGAGTACTTCACATAGTGAAACATTACTGTTTGTATCACACCAATGTTTCTCTTCTTTCTGAAGACTTAAATAGTCAGCAACTGAAACCAATTAGAAGTGATTTCTATATACTAGCTCAGATTTCAGCAACTCTAAGTAGTAATCCTTGACCGCCAACCTTAAATACCTCAGGTGTGAGCTCATCTAGAGATCCTTTCCTTCTTCATTTTAGGTTGTTTACGGTCTTCTCAACTTCGGCAAGCGTTAGAGGGTATTTAGGTTGCAACTAAAAAAAGGGGGGAACGGAAAAGTAGTCGGGGGTCAGTTGAACTTTTCCTTGAAGTGTTTCACCCTTTGTTCCACTCTTCTCTTTGAGTGAATCCCGAACCTATACTTTCCCTCTGTGGTCTCACCAACCGTCGACTTTTTTTCCTAACCTCCTTGATCAGTGTTAACAACTGTCTATTGGTACCTATTGCAAACATCTTTTTAACCTCCTTAACCTTTTCTACCCACAACTGATCGCGGCCGTTGCATAGGCTTTGCAACTCTTCATTTGAATTGCTTCTGCTCCTCATTGTACTCAGCCTGCGAGGCTGCCTTCGTGTGCATCCATTAGTTCAGAGAAAGCTGCTGACATCTACTTACTCTTTCTAACCTCTTCCTGATGGTTAGTTAAGTTTTTGACACTTTTGAAAGAGGAAGGGGAATGGCATGATTGTCTATCCAGTTCCTCATCGAAGGCAGCCTTAGCATTCTCACTATCTAGCTGCTCTCGGGATAGTTTCACCGTTGTATTTTTCATGCGCACATTTGAGCGTAGGCGAGCTTGCTCAAGCCAGCGTGTGACCACTGTCCTAACACGTGCTCCAGAAGGAGCAGCAATCTTTCACTACCTCTCTGCAGCGATAACTAGTAGCTTTATGGTGTATCTGTGTCCACCATGGAGTTGAAGTTGGTGAACGCCTTATCAAACATTATCTCTCTTTATGTTAGAGGTTTGTGGTGGCCAAAAATAGATAGTTGTCTCAGGTGGTCGCCGTTATCTGGTCGTTCAGCTGAGATCCCAGAGGTGTCACCTACGTGCCTTTCTGCTTGGCTTAGTCTACCAATTTGTGTATTAAGATCACCTACAACAGCCACATCTTTAAGTTTGGTTTTCCGTAGAAAGCCTGAGAGGTTTTGTTGTAACTCATATCCCAGTTCACCCAAACTGCAGTTATTGGGTGCGTAAACATATGCCACAAAGAGGCGACGGCGAGTTTCACCATTCCTTTTAGTCCACCGCACTGTTCAGCCGAGAAGTGCACAGGCAACCATCAACTTTGAGCCATTGGACCAATGCACTTTCTGTCTTGGAACTTAATGCTATGTCTACACCTGAAAACCACACAAACTAGCCATCAAATTTCCTGAAAGTTGAAGGGTGTATTTCACAGGTTAGCCAGGTGAGGAGTTTGCCTCCGTGTCTCACTGACACATGTCCGTAACCCGGAATACCAGAGTTTTATTGAGTAAAGCTTCTTCAGTTTGACGAAGCGTGCGGACATTAAAGGCTGTGGTATGTCGTTTTGGAGCGCGGTTTCAGAAAACTAGAGATGCTGTTTCATGAACTGAAATCGTTACCAAAGGTTACATAAATGGATTAAATTGAAGACGGTTTTGGAATATAGAAAGAGGGATCTGAGAAGTGATTAGTAGGCAAAGATATAAAAGACTGACATTCTCCAACGGATGTCAGTCTACGATGAATAACAACTTGAAATATTTCCAAATCTCCACAACTCCCTCAAAATTTAATTGCCCTGGTAGTATCTCATCCCTCACCCAAAATATAAAATTACAGCATACAATGAAAATTTTGAGGCAGTTATCTAACTTTTTTGCGAATACTCAAGCCCTCCACACTACGAACTCTGTAACCGATTGTTCAATTTATTACTATTATATTGTTTTCGTTGTTTTATATATCATTTGTATTTTTTTCCATCGTTTTCGCTTTATCTTCATTTCACTCAGCTACTCTTCACTGTTTAGACTTCTGGTCTGTCTGTGACATTTTGAGTTGCTAATCAGTTGCTCCCGTAAAGCTGTCCTCCAGTGCGATACCTAACACAGCTATCCTGAAACGACGCATACCGTTTAGGCTCACTATCTTCAACATTCGCACCTTGATGCAGATCGGACAACAGGTAGGTTTGACTAGGACTCTGGAAAGTCCTGGTATTGGTGTATACTATACCTCAGAGACCAGCATACACGATCACAGTGAAGTCCTTCGAATTAATTCAGCTCGAAAAGTGTACTTCATGTGCGCTTATCTGGGAACTCTAGGGCATCAGCAACCAGCCTCGATGGTGTCGGTGCTGCACTAATCGCTATAGCCGAAGCTACACTGCTCGACTGGATTCCTATCAACAGTCTCTGTGCTGTTAGACTTGGAGGTTCTTTGCGAGTAAGAATTAACTAGTAAGAGAAACGATATCTCTTTGTCATCTCTGCGTATGTTCCGACGGATTGCAGCTCGAATGCAACCAAGGATGAATCCTGTCATCATCAGATATCGTAGTGCTAGTTGGGGACTTGAATGCACAGGTCGGGCGTCTAGGCTCAGAGCAGAATCATTTAGGTGGTCAGTGGGGACTAGTAGACCGCAGGTCGAATAATTGGGGTCGTTTTCTGCAGCCTTGTACAGATCACAACCTATTTCTAGCTAGCACCAACTTCCAGCAGACGCATCACCGTTGTGCTACTAGGGGTCCTTCCTCTGCCACTCAAGCCTGGATTCAAATAAATCATTATAATCAGCTGCCTATGGCGTCGGTGCATACAGGAATCTCGCTCCATATAAAGTACTTGTCTGACCTGTGGTCATCCTTTAATGTGTGCTAAACTCGTCTTACGTCATCAAAATCGTCATTCTAAACAGGTCAATGCAAGCACATTAGTTGCACCTAACATTGCAGCTAAATACCAATCCGAGCTACCTATCCTCCAGAAAGTGTTGATGGGCATAGGCTGCACCTACAAGATACCATGAAAATGAAAAGTAAAACCCCTTGCTGCTTGGAAAAAGGTCTTTTGCGCTAAAGATTACACGACTCTTACGCAAGGATCGCGAGGCTTGGTGGTCAAAACGCGCGAGTGAGATGGGAACCGTAGCTGCATCGGGCAATAGTAGGAAACTATTCCAGCTCATTTGAGTCACTGGCAGTAAGAAGCCCGGTGTCAATGAGGTCTGTGAAGTACGTGGTACTCCGATAAACAATCTTCAAAGACACCTGAAGCGCTGGGTGGAGCACTTCGAAAGGCAATTTAGCCGGCCCACCACTCCAGCACCTTCAGTTTCAGTGTATGGTGCTCCATGGTCAGTTAACACTTATCCGCCTGACGAAGCAGACGTCCATGAGGGACTCCAAGTTCAGAAATGCCACGGGGCACCTAGTCGAGACAAACTACCCCGGTTCTTTCTTAAAGATGATGAGACGACCTTAGTCAGGGAACTGATTAGACTGTTTGAGAATGTATGGCACACCAATAGTGTTGCACCGCTCTGAAATGTAGCCATCGTTGGCCCCATCTTTAAAAAAGATCATTGTATTGTATGTGGCAACCATCGGGATAGCCTGTTACCAGTCACGTCGAAAATATCGGCTGCTATCATACTTCACAGGCTTTGCAAAACGCGTGATAAAACTATTCTCGAGGAGCAGGCCGGGTTTCCTTCAGGTTGTAGATGCATTGATCATGCGTTCACTCTCCGCCAGGTGCTTGGACATCGGCAGACGTATTGGAGGCCGACAATCGTTGTGTTTCTTCATGTCAAAGCTGCCTTCGATTCGTCGAACACAGCTGTACCCCAGAATTTTCTGTTAGAGAGGGGTGTGCCTGTGAAATTTATTAGCATCCTGAATGTCCTATATGATAAGACCTGTCTCCATTGTTCTAAACCAGCAGTGGTGTTAGTCAGGGTGGCCCAGTTTCTTCATTCCTCTTTAACTTTACCATCGATAACATTCTTGAGATAGCTCTGAAGAAGGTGCATGGTGGTGGTATAGGTCTACTACCCGGAGAACGGCTTTTCGGCTTTGAATATGCAGACTATATAGTCTTACTGTGCGATAAAACACAAGCTACTCAAGTTGCACTCAGTCAGTTGGCGATTAGTGTCCGTAAGTATGGTATGCAATTTGCACCATTGAAGTGCGGAGTACTTTAGCAAGATTAGGGGGGCCTGTGTCTGCACTCACTTTTGGTAGTGAGCCGTTGGAAGTAGTCGAAACGTTCTTGCATCTGGGTAGTTGTGTGAGTGCTGGTGGGAGTGTGTGACGAAATTTCTAACCATATGTCGAAAGCCAGAATGACATACACCAAACTGGGCCACCTTTGGCACCGTTACGACGTTAGTCTGACCGTAAAAGATCGGGTTTACAACGGTTCGGTGTGAGCAGTTCTGCTCTACACCTGGCCTCTCCGAGCTGACGGTGTGGAACGACTCTGTGTGTTCAATCACTGTTGTCTTTGTGGGATTGTTTGAATTTGGTGGAAATAACATGTAAGTAATTGTGAGGTATGACAGCGTGTGTTTGGGCATGATATAGATAATCATTCAATAAATAAAGTCATGTGGAAACACCGACTTCTTTGGCTTGGACATATGGTATGCATATCATTTACCTGCTGTCAGGTTTCATCCTCTACAGAAGTTATCCTGGATAGTGTGACTGTTTATCTTTTATCTTTTGATACAACGTTTTGTTAAATGTCCTTTTTGGCTTTTTATTAGTAAGTGTTTCATGGCACCTGACGTGATTCGTACTCTGTTGGCTTATGAGTAGTGAGTTATTTATCAGTGTTTTTTGTTAACTCATATTTTTAACTAGGCTGCAACATGACGTCCTGCCCGTTTTTGCGTAAATTATCTCCTGCTACGATACAAAGGGATGTTCAACAGTTGATAAAAATGATACCCAGATGCCCATTTGCTAGTCGTTTGTTTGATGGAACCCCACTTTACAATGCCAGGATATATTCGAATCTTGCCACAGAACCTCATCCGGACGAGTCGTTGATCTGCAGTAAGTTTGCATTTAGTATATCGTGTGCATTGATCAGTGCGTTTTCACTTGTGGACATATGAAATACCTGTTAAAACAGATGAAAGTTCGAAGAATTAGTTAATTATCTTGATATTGAAATAAACGGAAACCTTTCAACAGCATCTTTTGTTTGATAAATGTTATGGTTTCAAAACATGAATATTTAGTGCTGTACTAAGGATTCTCGACCATAGCGGTAATCTTGGAGTGATGGATGAACTTGCAAATTACAGTGTTTTGTCCGAACTGCACTGACTAATACATCTGATCAGTGCTGTGTTGCAATGCCAAGAATGTCGGTCTAACTATGATGCGATCAAAAGCAAAAGATATTTTGTAATCCCACAATTGAAGCACTACAAAATTATTTTGTTCATACGACAAAGTAGTGCTGCTAGGTGTATTGTGGTGTAATAGGAATGTTTTATTTTTGAGGATAATCAGCACCTGTAGCGGTTACTCTCTTTTACGAAGGTAAAGTTAGGTCTACAAAACCCCGCACTTTTCCTTACTCTGCGGAATTTCAATACCATCAGCCTTGGTTCAAAATTTTCTTTCATTTCTTTACTGACAAGTCTGTAATGTCTTTAACATTTTTCAGATCTTCAGCTCGTGATAATGGCTGGAGTTCAAGAAATAACATTCTTTATATCCTAGCACCTAACCTCAGACCGTATTTTAGAGGTTTCGACCTCCACACTGTTGGTCAAACTGTAGAATAAGCCTCACTAATCCGTTATAATCTCAGAGAATGCTGCTGGAACTTTGGGTAGAATACTTTGAAAAATAGTTCAACTGCCCAACATCTAAACCGAATCTGAATGTGATATAGATATCGGTTTCTCAACTCACCTGGAAAAAATTATTTCAAGCATAAAAGAGGCAAAACGACAAGACTTGTTGGTTTGTTCCCAGAAGTCATTAAAGATGGCATAAAATTACTGATTGGTGTAAGCTGGGTGTCACCTAGTGTGTAACAGTCGGAGGTAGTCTAATGGTCCTAGTCTAGATCGTTAATCATTCCAGTTTATCAGAAGGGAGATTGTTTTTTGTGGAAACTGTACGGGAATCACTTTGACCAACACCATGTCTACGATCATAGGGCTCTTAACCATTCAATGCTTACCGGGAACTGTAGAACGTCGAACTCGGGAAAACCAGATAAGTTTTTAATTTTAAGGATGTAAGGGTCAATTTTTATGCTTCAGTAAACCCTGAGAAATACACGTAATTGCTAGTGGCCAACACTTGTCATGCTTTTGTATATGAAGGCAGGGTGCTCCCCCGTTTATGTCAGTGTGTTGTAGCAGTTTTTGACTATGGTAGGGGTCTCTGAAAAGTATGCTACACTTTTCCAGGTCTTCCATCGGAAAAACACAACTTGGTGAGTGTTTACTAAGGGTTGTTGTGTGATGGGATGTCAACTAGTGGTGTCTACCAGTAACGTTCACCATCACTTTTCTTACTTTGTTTTAAAGGTGCTAATAGATGTGATTATGAGTACCTTCGACCTCGCTATGACTGGATTGCCGTCTGGAGGGTGCCTAGTTGATTTAGCACATGCAGATTTATTGACCTTAATGAATGCAAGAAAAATCACTGGGACGTGAACTCTCGGGAGATTGTATCAGTCCGAACCGGTTGGTTGCTAATGTAATCTCAGCTTGGATACAAAATAACCGTTAAGCATTTGCCAACTCGCGTCATCTCTGGCACCAGCGAGATTTCTGACTACCTGTTAAAGAACAAGTATACTGCAGTGCAGTCCATTTTATCGTATTATACAGCTATGAAACATGACTGATAAAAGTAGAAGATATGAAGAAGTTTTCGAATATTGCTCATGTATGATGGAATCACCATATGAATAATGTAGAAGTTAGGCGGAGGTTACTAGGCAAGCAATGCAAGTCAGTCATTGAGATTATAAACTTTAAGCAACTGAGGTGGTTTGGACATGTGTTGTGCATGCCATATCACCGCTTACCTCGGCGTGCAATGCTAACAGAAGTTGGGTTGGGTTGGGAGAAGACTTAGAATAACCAGATTAAGATGTGACACCAGTCTAACTGTTGGTTTTAGCCGCGTGGGGCTCGTTGAGATAATGCATGTCAATAGTTGCTGACTCTTGGCGAAATGACTGAAACTCAGTCAGAATGGCTTGTATGTATTCACTCTTTAATGTCTTCTAACTATTTTCACTAATCTTGATTTTCTGATTCTTTCCTCTCCTATACACCTTTGTCTACTTTGATATCACTTGTTCTCTACATGTTTCTGTGAAGTGTGGCATGAATCGGTGCATTTGTGTTCTAGGTTCTGTGTTGATTTTGTCTGTCTGTCATTGACATATTCTAAGGGAAAAGGCTTGTTACTGTAAAGTGATGTAAAACTGCTTAACTTGTGAATTTAAGCAAGTTTATGGGATAATGGTCTGATCATTAGTTTTTCAACTCATACAAACCCTAAAAATGTTTGTAGATATGACATCAAATTCTCAAGGTATCCACATTTATTTGATTGTTTTTGAAATCCATCATTCTTCCTGTATGATCTCATAAAACGTGTTTTGTATTCCAGAGAATGTTTCAGAGTGTCTCTTGAAAAAATGTCCTTATACCATGAGTTCAGGAGAACCAACAAATTCAGATTCTGTGTGGTCTTCTCAAACTACTGATAACGTCAAGTCTGATAAATGTTGTGGTCAGTCAAGTGGACATTCAACTGGTAAGTTGAACAAGTATATAACGTTGATAAGTATGCAATTCAAATTATTGGTTTGATTGTTGCCAAACTTTTATTTACATATCACTATAAATATTTATACAAATCATACAACTTCACTTCTTTATGAAAGCTCACTAATGGTTAGTAGAATGAAATTATAATATCTACCATCCAGATCTAATTATCAAAACGTCTCAAGCTATTAAATTTTAAAATCGTGTTGATAATGTTTTACTGAAAGCCTTTTATTTCGATTTGCTTTCAGTAGGATAAAGTTCCAAGTTTATAATTCCTGACAATGGAATTTTTTTAACCATTTTCTTTCGCACAACGCTCCTGTGTAGTAGTAGTTATCGTTGAAAATCATTCCTAACCATTCCCTTATTGGTTTAGGTTAGTTTATGTACACTTTTGCTATTGGTGTAATCTGAGCCAGTGTGCATGATATCAAAGTATCATGGATAATGAAACTAATCCTGACTGTATACACCTTCAGTAACTTTCTCAATTAGATAAGAGAGTAAAGCCTCGACTAAATTTAAATGGTGGTTGATCAAGCTTCTTGTGTCCCAAGCAGAAAAGGAATCATACCACATCATGCATACTGTTCTGTGCTTAAATCATCTATTAGTACTAGAAGAATTTGTTATGCCATAATCATGAGGTTGGTGAGATGAACCAGTTGGTGTTTGTAGGTTTACTCCTACAGATGCTGTAATAATCCTTCGTTTACATCTAGAGCCTCAGATTTATTGTTTATCCGTGGAATCCAAGACGTAAGTTTCTTAATCTCCATTTTGACCATATCCTGTTGTCTTTGGAAAATAGGAATGATTTGAGGGTTTGTGAGGATTTATTGGTTTCAAGTTGGTATTCATCATGGACTGACATCAGTTGGAGGAACATTGGAAACTTGAAAGCACTGGAAAACGTTTTTGTCCTAGTATGAGACTCAGCAGTGCTCACCCATGACCCGACCGCGCCAAGGACCGAACCCGGGACCTTTAGGTTCCGTGGCCAGCACTTTAACACTGAGCTACTGGGTCCTCCAACTGATATCAGTCCATGGTGAATACCAGCTTGAAAAATCACTAAATCCCCACAAATCCCCGAATTAAATTTATTTAGTGCTTATTGGTGACTAGCTTCGAGAGGTGATTTCTGAAGTTCTAATGAGAAGTCGTGACCAGTGACGCAAACCTGGTGGCCGTGAGGACAAATACACAACGATGACATTAGCTGATGGTCGCGCTATGTCATGAACTGACAGAAGTTGGAGATATGGATCATTGAATCCCGATCCAATAGCTTAATGGTAACGTGCTGGTCACGGAACCTGAAGGTCCTGGGTTCGATCTCTGGATCGGTGGGGTCATGGGTGCACACTGCTGAAGAGTCCCATACCAAGACAAAACAGCTATCCAGTGCTCCGAGGTTTCGAGTGTTTCTCCAACTGATGTCACTCTATAATGAATGCCAACTTTTAAAAAATCAGTAAATCCTTGCAAACTGCTGTTATACCTCATTTTTGAGCTTTCCAGCAATGCATATTTTTTATCCTGAAAATGCATTGCTTAGGAATGTTTCAGCTAGGATACGTTCCAGTTAATATCGATTTCAATCTAATAAATAATGTCTTCGATTAAAGTTTGTTATTTTTTTGGGGAGAGGATGAAATAAAATCTTATACACATTGAGGGATTTATATTAAAATATCGACGCCTCTTTATTTTATGATATTTGTCATGTTTTATAGAAATATGTATTCCGAATACATGTGCTTTGTTTGGTGGTTGGCGAAAAAGTATGGCTGATAAAGAATCGTTTCAACCGACGACAACAACAACACACTTAAAAAATACTGAACCTGAAGACTTAAAATCAATTGAATCAAATCATAATGATAGTTTAGGTTTTGCTTACAATAAATATTTTGCTTCTGAAGTGGAAAAGAAAAAGAAAGATTCAACTTATCGAGTATTTAGAAGAATTCTAAGAGATGCAGCAGATTTCCCATTTGCAGAGGATTATTCCACTGGTATAAAACGTCGAGTAGCTGTATGGTGTTCCAATGACTATCTAGGAATGAGTTGGCATCCAAAAGTTCAAGAGGTTGCAATGTAAGCTTATTACATTTACAATTTCTGTGGTACTGATTTTCATCATTATTGTTTTAACCGATAGGAACATTTATATTTACATTCAAGCAGAGTTGTAAACGACACTTCGTAGTCGAAGTTTACTCCTTCTCTTATGTGTAATATCCACACTACGGTTTCATATTAGTGATCATCACATTTCGATGGTATAGTGTTCTCTGAGGTGGACGGTTTCATTGTCACTCCAGGCAACGTCATCAGCACAAACTTCAGGAAGAAAGTGAACTGTGGGATTTTCTTCACAGGTTGCCTTGTAGCTTGTCCTGATGGCCTTGTGTGTGATTGGTCGTTTCTGCGAAAGTCTTGTCATTGTCCCCATATTTATTTCGATTGGTTGTCTTGATGACCTGAAATTTGATTTTATTATTTCTCATTGGTTTATATATTGGGTCAGTGCGAGTATGTCAGTTGATTGCTGTCTAACTTGAATGATCCGAGCGAAGATACGTTATGACGCTTCACTGCTAGTTAATTTTTATGTAAGAAGAGCTCTATCACTCTTTTCGAAACAGAAATAACCAATCATACCCAAGGTCATCAAGGCTACTAAACCACTTGTGCAGAAATTTGTGTCGATGATATTGTCTAGAATGGTAATGAAAGCTTCACGATATTAGACCATCCAGCTCAGAGAACAGAACAACATCAAAATCATACTCCTGAGCTACAAACATTCTCCATCATCTCATCATGACATTTATTCAACATAATTCTGTAATATTGATAAGTTTGTATTTGAAGACAAACGTTTAAAAATATCATTAATGTTTTTGAGACGTCTTTTCTGATGTACACTAGCTCATAATCCAATGCTTTGTATAGAAACGTTCGTGGTTTAGTCAAAATTTCTACTACACGTATCAGGGATAAAATACTAAACTGAACTAGAAAAACGTTATTAAAGCACAGTTAATAACTAGTTTATAGATAAAAGTATGTGTTAAGATTTGGATCAAGATATACTCGAATCTAATCGAAATGCATTCATCAACCTTGTGGACATTCGTGCAGTGTGAGGTGTGGTGATGATGCTACCTAAATGCCCAAACCTTGGTAGGTGGAGTGGGGCACGTACCCTACACCACTGAGCCACAGCTCCACACTAAGATATTAGCTTGGATACTTCCGTTCTTCCAAGCGAGATTTTTAGTCAGTCAAGTTATTTATAGCTGTTTGGTTTGCACATTATTAGGTTCGGTTACCCCTTCACAGACTGAAGCTAGGTAGTATCAATTGTCCTCAGAGTAAGTTTGATTTTTGACTTATTGCGCTTAAAAAAAGACTGATTGAGCAATTAAGTCTTCGTCTTGGTCTCTACACTAATATATAGGTTTACAATTTAATCAAAACACCAATCAAGTGGTGGGAGGTTGGTGAACAATAATTATAGATTTTAAGTCATGAGGATGTTGTTTTAGAAATTAAGATGTAAATAGAGTAATTAAAATTGGAAATATGAAGCAAGTTATTCTTAGCTAAATGGAGTGATTTTTGATGAGTGCTCAGTCATAAACAATGAGTGGTTACGTTATAACAGGAAAACAAATGAATAATGATAGAAATAAGAGAGGGAGGAGGTGTACACAATAATACTACAAGTCATGTCTTGTTGATGGCCATGGTAATTAAAGTGGTCGGACAAACTTTTCTGAATACAACGGTTTATTTGGCTTGTAAAAGTGGATCCATGTGGTAAATTAGTTGGAATGTGATGAATAATTCAGAAGGCTTTTCTGGTATCTACTTGATGTTCCGTATCAACTAGATGTGCAAGTATAGAGCTCTTTATAGTTCTAATTCGTCTATTGCTCAACATTATTTGTATTTAAGTGTAAGGTCCCACTTGTTTCCTACAGCATATTGTTATGATGTGAGGTTATGAGAACGAACGAAAATACTGAACGATTGACAGTTGAGATGATTCAACCCGAGCGATTCGTAAAGAGAAATCAGAAGACTGGAACTCATCAACTGAGTTGATAGTAACCTCGGACTGATAACGTTTATGAGTGAAAACGGACCCTATTTATAGAGTTTACAGTAACCTTGAAAGGTAAGGAATAATTGGTAAGTCTAAAGAGGCAGGAGTCAATCAGAACAAAAGCGGATCATACGAAATATGACCCTATGCTCGAAAAAAGAGCGCGAAAAACTAGTTTAAATGTATACAAACTGTAAGTATGGAATATAAGTCATCCCTAACACATATGATATTCAATAAATCGAATATATAAATAGGTTGGTTTTCTGGATGCATTAAATGAATTCTTGTTTATTCGTATATTTCGTGGTGTATTCTTGTCCTATAACCTACAATTCATATCACGAATCCAATTTGATTGAATTAGACCGTAAACTTCCTTCCACTTAGTTGTATCTTCCCAGTATTATTTCATAATCAAAGTAAAAAATGTAACTTGTTTTTCTATAATTTCATTGTGCTAGATATTATTATGGGTTTATCTTTTTTTTTAGCTCTACTATTCAAAAACATGGTGTTGGTTCAGGTGGTACACGTAATATATCTGGCAATTCATTATTGCATGAAGAACTGGAAGCTGAACTGGCAGATCTTCATGAGAAACCTTCAGCTCTAGTGTTTACCAGCTGTTATGTGGCTAATGAAGCTGTACTACACACTTTAGGGACTCGTATACCAGGATTAACAATATTCTCTGATGCTGGTAATCATGCATCAATGATTCATGGGATTCGAACTAGTCGTTGTCCGAAGGTTATCTACCGACATAATGATATAAAACACTTAACTTCTTTACTGGAAAATGTACCTAAAGATTCGGCAAAATTAGTTGCTTTTGAGACAGTGCATTCAATGTCAGGTAACTAAATGTATCGGTACAGTACTGCATATTTAATTTATGGTGTTTTTAAAAATTATTATTAAGAATTATGATTAATTGAATTAATTGAATGACAGATTGAATACTTCTCTAAATATTGCATTGTTATAATCTTGGGAACTAAGAACTTTTAACGTATGTACTTACTTTACTGATATAGTTATTTTGAGGATAGGCGATTTGTAACGATTGTGCAGCAGGCAACGAGACATACGAATTGTATGAGGGCTGATGATACTACTACCTGGCTACATACTCATCAGTAAGTGGGAACGTGGTTCGAACTCGTGACCCACAAGTCATTTGCTTAAACCAATGAACTATTGCTCCCGTTTTTATAACGATGTGTTGTATACACGTGTACTGCCTCATTTAATTTTGGTTGTTGGCCTCATCTAAGTAGGAATTTGCGCATAGCCTCATTACTTGTCTTTCATTGCTATCTTATATTGCAGGTCAAACTGTAAAGGCATTTGTGGTCATACTTGTGTGACTTACTACGAATAAACGACAACTAGTGGTGTCTACCGGGGATGCCCAATGTCACCGTTGCTATTTATTTTCGTTGTAGACATACTAATGAACATAACCTAAGGTATGTCTGACTTCGTAGGGATCGATCTATTCCCTGGAGGTTATCTGGTTGACTTGGAGTATGCTTACGATATTGTCCTGCTGGGTGAAAACGCTGACAAAATGCAGGGTCTTTTGACTGCGTTGAGCAGAAATCTGAGCATTTTTGGCTGGTATGTGTTCCGCACTTGTCAAATGTAAGATGACGCTTCATGACTTGTCTACAACCACTGCCAGGCTGATGATAAGGAGTGAAGTGATGGAATGTGTTGACCACTTTACTTACTCGGCAAGCTGGATCAGTCCGAACGGGGTGGTTGCTGACGAAGTCTCAGCTTGGATACAGAAGGTCCGTTTAGTATTTGCCAACTTGTGTCATCTGTGGTGTTGACTGGCGAAATATCCGACTATCTATCAAAGGATGAGCATACTGCTCTGAAGTTTGTCGTGCTGTCATACGGCTGTAATACATGGCCGTTGAAAGTGGAAGACAGGAAGCGGTTTCAGGGTTTTGACCACAGATATTTTCGTTGCATTGTTCGCGTTTAGTAAAATCATCACTGATTAATGTTTACGCCAAGTAGGAGGTAGTTGTCAAGATAAGAAAGTGGATCGATGAGGTTGTGAACCTTCATCGTATAGGGTGGTTTGGACATGCGTTTTGCATACCGAGTCACCGCCTACCTCAGCGTGCCCATGCTAGGGGAATTTGGTTTATGTTTCAACAGGGTGCAGGGTGGCCAGTCCAAGATGTGGCACCGGTCGATGAAGTCTCTGAGTCATGTAGTAGAGATGCAGACTATATCGCTGGGGTTCCCGAGACAATGGGAATCAGTGTTTGAGGACTGTTGGTGAAGTAGCCGAAAATCGGTCTCAGTGGTGTAGTTGTATTTACTACTTTACCTCTTCTGAAGATTGAATATTAGAACTAACCTTTATCTTCAGATTGTTTATTGTCTCACTCAACTTTGTCTATTTTGATGTCAAACTTATTCTATCCACTTGCTGTTTCTAGACTACTGTGAAGTGTGTCAACGTCAGTCGATGAACTTGTGTGCGACGTTTTACTTTGCTTCTTTCTAACTTACTACGAAGATTACATGACACTCGTATAGTTTTGCAGAAATTTTGTGTTTCGTATTCTAGCTCTTTTATACTCATTCAATTATCCTTTTATCATTATTACTTAAAACAATAAGTCCCTTTAATAAATTTCGATAACGCCATTAGAAGACGAAGATCCTCTGAAAAATGTGATGTATTTGCGCAATACATTTCGAACAATCTGGTCACATATTTACTTATCAAGTCAATTTATATATGAAAATTGAAGGTCAAATATAGTGAAAATGAAAAGCTTGTGACACTAGTCTTGGTAATATAATCTAGCCATTCACTGCGCGTACAAAAACAATTTGTTGTTTCACTTAATTTACAAGTACAAGAAACAATTAGTTCAAGATCGATCACTGTTGGTGATCTTACTTTTCCGGTATCCGCCTTCATTAAGCGAGTTTAGGTAACGTATAACAAACACACCAGCTCAATACGTTTTCGTGTATGGCATAAAATCACAGACAGTAAAAAAAGTGTTGTGTCCAGTTCGTTTATCTCCTATTTGAACGATAAAACAAAAAGAAACTAATGAAGCCTTGAATAGATATCATGACGATGTCCTTCTTTTAAGAGTCATTCAACTGACCTCTATCTATCCTGAAATAATGTTCTTATATTATTCACGTGCCCTTGCTGCGCCAGATTTGCGTTTCAAACAATAAATAATTATAATTTTCCATAACGCCATTAGAAGACGAAGATCCTCTGAAAAATGTGATGTATTTGCGCAATACATTTCGAACAATCTGGTCACATATTTACTTGTCAAGTCAATTTATATATGAAAATTGAAGGTCAAATATAGTGAAAATGAAAAGGTTGTGACACTAGTCTTGGCAATATAATCAGATAAGGATTACCAAGGTAAATGGCAGATGTTCCGTCAAAGGATATAAGAAAATTAGAAAGAAAAGTAACAACTAGTCTAGTAAAACTCCTTAACATGGATGTTATTGCTAAAGCGGAGTTTAATTCCTTGAAACCCGTGGGATCTAATTTTCCAAATCCATATGGACTTCCAAAAATTCACAAAATTGATAATCCACTACGTCCAATATTGCCAATGTGTCAGTCTCCCACACACAAATTGGCGAGATGGTTAGCCGAATTACTGAGCCCGAATCCTTAATGATTTATGTAAGTATTCACTGAAAGATACGTTTGAACTTGTTGATTATCTTACTGATTTGGATATTAAAAATAAGAAAATGTATTCTTTTGATGTTAACTCTCTGTTTACAAATGTGCCTCTAACGAAGACAATGAATATTCTTTGCGACTACATACCTTCGAATTATCCTTCTTTCCCTATTCCTTCAATTTATTTGAAAGAACTCCTTTTAGTATGTACTGATAAGGTTCATTTCACTTTCGAAGGTGAACACTTTCTGCAAATTGATGGTGTAGCCATGGGGAGTCCATTAGGACTGTTATTAGCTGATGTATATATGTCACATACTGAACTAATGGCTCAAGATTTAATCACCAATGTCACACTCTATAGAAGGTATGTGGATGATATCTTTGTAATATGTGACACAGATGAGGATGCCAAGAGGTTGTTAAAATGGCTTAATACCGTACAAGATCATATCAGTCTGATATGTGAGGAAGAAAAAGACCATCAACTTGCATTTCTTGATATACTCTTGTGCCGGAGGGAAGATGGGTCGATTAGACGATCAATACACAGGAAGCCTACTTGGACAGGATAGTATTTGAATTTCCATAGTTTTTGTCCGATGAAATATAAGAGAGGCTTGGTAAGATGCTTGTTCAATAGAATCCAACGTATTTGTACACCTAATACGATGGATGATGAGAATAAGTTTCTGACAGACACTCTAATGGAAAACGGTTATCCATTACAGTTTGTTAACCATTGTAAAAAACAGCTGACCCCAAAGCCTACAGTTTCCTCGGTCCCGAAGAAAAGCATATTTCTTAAAGTATCATACAGAGGGGAAACAAGTAGTATTATATTGAAGCAGAGATTAAAATCTGTTATCAGTAAAACATACTATGCAGCTCAGCTTATCATTGTTGAGACGACAAAACACCTGCTTCACCACAAACCTCAACCTCGCACAAATGATTACGTCACATCCCACTGTGTTTACCAATTTACATGTATGTGTGGGCACACATACATAGGGAGGAGTAATCGTTCAATGCAGACTAGGGTGGGTGAACACATACCCAAATGGCTAGAAAAACAGTTTAACACACAAACTTTGATAAGTGCAGGCGACATCTATCCATCGTCATCTATAGCAAAACATATCATTGAAATGAATCACAGGGTTAATACGAAAACAGCGTTTAAGATATTATACAGGAATAATCAGGGGCGCATACTGAAGTTTGCCGAAGCGTTAGCCATTCGTAAACTTAATCCCCCGCTGTGTGTAGAAAACAATTTATTGTTTCACTTAATTTACCTTGGTAATCCTTATCTGATTATATTACCAAGACTAGTGTCACAACCTTTTCATTTTCACTATATTTGACCTTTAATTTTCATATATAAATTGACTTGACAAGTAAATATGTGACCAGATTGTTCGAAATGTATTGCGCAAATACATCACATTTTTCAGAGGATCTTCGTCTTCTAATGGCGTTATGGAAAATTATAATTATTTATTGTTTGAAACGCAAATCTGGCGCAGCAAGGGCACGTGAATAATATAAGAACATTATTTCAGGATAGATAGAGGTCAGTTGAATGACTCTTAAAAGAAGGACATCGTCATGATATCTATTCAAGGCTTCATTAGTTTCTTTTTGTTTTATCGTTCAAATAGGAGATAAACGAACTGGACACAACACTTTTTTTACTGTCTGTGATTTTATGCCATACACGAAAACGTATTGAGCTGGTGTGTTTGTTATACGTTACCTAAACTCGCTTAATGAAGGCGGATACCGGAAAAGTAAGATCACCAACAGTGATCGATCTTGAACTAATTGTTTCTTGTACTCTCTTCCAGAGTTATTCGATAACTTTCAGTATAAAACACTAAAAGTGTGACTGCGCTAAGTGATTCACAATCCTGATTACAACTAGACACGCGCCACTGGATGTTGACTTGGGATTTCCGTAGTCTCTCAGGGAGTAATAGTGATCGTATATATAACTTGGAACATTCTTGTCTCATTAGCATAGAGTAGGACTGTATGAACAGAAATATTCCACACATAAGCCTTTACATCAGAGAGAAGGGGATAAAGATGTTAAAGGTTATGGTATGGAATACCATAAATCCAGTGCTTTGACTTGCAAATATTGAATTCATCTAGAATGCCTTCAATAATGCACATAGTTGTGAAGAAAGACACGAATTTTTCAGTTATTCGTACAGTTTCTCATATTGTGTTTGCTAGCCTAAGCTTTTCACAATTTTAATCATGTAATTTATACTACTGTTGTATGATAAAGCTCATATCGTGCCTATGAACTTTGGTCAGCAGCTGATGAAATGTTACACGTGTAAGTCGCTTGGAACAAGAGTTGCTGCTTAGAGGTCTCTCCGTTGTATCAATGCAGTATATTACCTTCTCCAAGAATTCAGCTTTAGCTCCTATCAGCTGTGTGATTTCAGTTCATCCAGCTCTGTGGACCATCTAGGAACTAATTTTGGTGTGAAGGCTGTATACTTTATAATAATAGATTTATTTTGAAATAATGTTTACGTTTCCATTAACATATACAAGTAAAAAGCCGTTATTCGGTGTAATCATAATAGAATATCAGTGATGGATAGTGGCTGGCTAGCAGTGGAACCCAGGACACACGTTTCGTCCTATGTAGAACTCGTCAGCTGGATGTTGTTCCCACTAAGACTTAAACCCCATACCGATCGCTTCAAACATCAGAATGTTATACACTTGGCCGTGAGAACCAATTCTTTTGCGATGAGCTTAATTTTTATATTTTTGCTGGTATTATCCCGTTATTGACTGGATCAAATTGAATCATTTTATTCGCAACAGTTTAGCCTAATTTCAAGTTGATTAGTCTGTTGTTGTTTTAAGCCTAATCTTACCTTGTCTATAAATGATTAATTTTGTATCACAGGTGATGTTTGTCCACTGAAGAATCTTTTGGATGTTGTTGAAGTCAATAAAGCATTATCATTTGTTGATGAAGTACATGCTGTTGGTTTATATGGTGCACATGGAGCTGGTGTTGCTGAACGTGATGGTCAGATGCATAGGATAGATGCAATTACGGGTACACTTGGAAAGGTATCACATGGATTTATACTCTATTAGATTACTATTCATTCACTTTTTTTCTCTACTTCTAATGTGGGTGATTCAAGAAAATTGTCATATTGATCCCCTAATTTCATGTTTTTGAGAGCAATAAAGTAAAATTATCAGTAATATAATCAATTACATTAGAAACACTTAGCGAACAATCTAACCACATTTAACCAACCCTTTTAGACTAAGCAATAGCACCTTTGTTTTGGTTTTACTTTACTCTAACAGTATGAAAGGTTGAAATTGCTCTCTTTGGTTTATTGAAAGTTGTGAACTGTTATTGTGAGCACTTTGTTCAGCATTGAAAAGACAATATTGATTGTAATTAGTGGTGGTATGTGAGTGTACTCTTATAGCTCCAGTTACAATATATGTCGAGACTGCTACCAGAAATATAAAGGTCCATAATTCAACGATAAAGCAAGTGCCTAGAATATTATGCACAATTTTTGAGAAGTAATTAAAGCTAATTTAATGTGTTCAGTATTCCTTGATAATAGTATTTCAACCTTGAGTAGTAAGGCTAAAAGTTTCATCGTGTACTAGCTGTGATGATGGTGATATATGTTATGATGTGAATGTTGGTCTAGTGCGGACAGAAAAATCACTGAGGCTTTGGATAAGACTTTAGGTATCAGCTGAACTTCTTTTACTCCATTCTTGTGGAATGACAATTGAGTAGTGTAGTATGCTTGCTAAGAAACTACTAGTATTAACACCAGTCAGTCACTTATAATGAGAGAAGCAAAAGACAGGTTTGTAGGAAGGAATGTTTGTTGTCAACAAGTGAGACAGTAGTCGTTAAATATGGTACACTTTGCACTAAAACCGTCATTTGCAAAATATGCTTCATTTCCTTTTCTGCTTCTTTTTTGATTTACTCTTCATACGCCTGTCCGTGTTTTGCGTTTCTCTTGACGGAATCCTTACCCATTGCTGGTAGTTCCCTATGATTTCTGCCACCTCAACATATACTACTTATAACCATTTTTATCAGCAACGCCCACTACAATAAAACATAAATGTTCAGTTGTAAACTTTTGATTATCGTGAATTATGAAACATATCACTGCGGTACTGATTTCGAAGAGTCATCGAATGTGATCAATGTAGGACGTAATAATACTTCACAATTTTTTTGGGAATTTGCATCCACGTATACGGCTATCCCTCCCTTAACACAGTGGCAACAAAAAGGTAACAGCAAATGATTTATTAATAAACTGTAGGTGAAAATGCTGCTAGACATTCAGTGCCTCTGTAATGTAGTAATCGATGAGCCATATTTATATAACTCAAGGAATATATTTTTTTAACCTGTATCGAAATTAAGTGCCCCTTCCCTGAGGAATAGTCATTAGAGTTCATTTTTTTCATAACGACTAATGACACCAGATTTCTGCGTTTCAATGGTGTCAATTTGTTTGTAGCGGAAGATACTACTAGTACTATAACTGTGGGTCATTAGTTTAGGGAGATAACTTTCAGCCAATGAGTCCCATTCTACCTATTGAGGTTTGAACAGTTACGTAGTATCATTACTAGGCCTCACACAATAGGTGTGGCTTATTGCCAATTGCACGAAAGTACACGATTCATGAGTGCATCTTAATTCACTGAACAACTTGAATAGTTAGAAACCACTTAAGTTATTCAATAGTAGTATCTTTCGCTAGTTCACAGTATTTTTATGCTAGAAATTACACACCTGATCTCAGACTAATGGTTTCCGCTGGAAACCTTGTTGATATCAAGGTTGGGCAGTTAAAAAACTACTCAGCTGTGAGAAATGTCAATCTAGACCGTGGAATTTGTAAGTCATTTGTAAATTGATAAATTTGTTTCGAAGTTTTACTCTAGGAGAATGAAAGCGTTTGTTCGCTGTATATATTAAGACGATGCCTTTACTTAGAGTAAACAACAATGAGAGAGCTCTAAGAGATTTATAATGTCACAAAGAAATACAACTTTTCAGGTTGATATTCATCACGGACTGACATCATTTAGAGGAACATCGAAAACTCGGGAGCACCGGACAGCTGTTTCATCCTAGTATAAGACTCTGCAGCAGTGCGCACCCACAACCCCGCCAGGGGTCAAACCCAGGACCTTCAGGTTCCATGGCCAATATGTTACCATTGAGCTAGCCACTGGGTCGGAATCTAATGGTCCATATTTCCAACTTCTTTCAGTTCATGAAATAGAGCGACCATCAGCGGATATCATCGTTGTCTATTTGTCCTCACGGCCACCAGGTTTGCGACATTGGTCACGATCATGATGGATATCAACTTGAAAAATCTCTAAATCCCCACAAACCCCCTAAAATACAATTTTATCATGCAATAAACAGTATACTAATGATCAGAATATACTTTATTGGAGTGAGTTTTAAATCAGCATTACGATTTTAGATTTGAATTTTTCAATAATCCAATTACATCAATTACATCATGGTACTCATAAGAAGTTAATGTGTTCAAAAAAGTGATGAATTTGACTTTTCACTTAGTACTGACAAATTCACTTAGTCATAATTATCAGTTTTCCGTGTTTTATTCTAACTAAATACATTGCAAAATACTCTGCTAACTGTTGTAAACAACAGCAACAACAGCATCATGAGATTACCTTAATATAAGGGTAGAACTTGAGTATTATGGCGGTATCTAATTCCATACCAGATTTGTTTATTTGATTTATAGCACACAGTGATCTAGTTATTATTTACGTTTTGAGCATAAATTATTGCTAATGACCCAATCAGTGTAATCACACTACTTTCGATATCTGCTTCTTTTTTTTTAAATAGTCCTCTCACTTCACATTTGTTTCTATTGGTAACAAAATTTTCCATATATCTGGATTGAGTGTTGATTCGACGTACAAATCACACAATAGGGTGAGATAGAACCACTTTACTTTAAGTCCAATATAATTAGGTAAGGAAGGAGATTCATTACTGAGTGTTTATTCATCGAATCAACACGCAACACCTATACCAGAGATATGGGAAACTTTACTGTCGATAAAAAGAAAAAATATCAGTTGACAGGACTATAAAAATCAGATGGTAAAAGTAGTGTGATCGCATTGATATAATTATGAGCAATGATAATTTATGCTCGAAACGTCATCAAGTAAATAATACGCTATAAATCGAATAAATAAATCTAATATGAAATGCTTTTCACAGTTCTTATTCTCTCGCCTCCTTTATGATATAGGTAGTAGAATTTTTCTTATATCCGAAACATGTGTTGAGTCTCTCCTGTTGTATGTATTAAGTATTGATTCGTTAAAGAAAGATTCAGTTGTTAATTTCTGCCTTCAATTACATACAATAAGATGGGAGAGGATGAAAATCCTTAAAACCAACATAACAGCACGGAGAGAGAAGATTGATAACTGAATCTTTATCCATTGAACCAACACATGGAACAGGAATGACTCAGTACATGTTCCAGATATATCGAAAACCCTACTACCTTGTCGAAAAGAGGCCAGAAAATTAAAACACTATATAAATCACGTCTCAAAGTTGTGTAGTCATCTTAATATGACTATGGACAATAAATTAATCCAGCAGATAATACTGTTTCACTGTGTGATACATCTAATTCGTCAAATAAAGTGGAATGAGATTACCTCGAAAACTTGTCCTGTATGTGTTCTCCTTTTTCAAAATATTTTCTCACTAAGAATTTCGTTCTTTTGCCTACTACTGCATTACAATTCGACTACAAAGTTTTTGTGGTAAAGACATCAACAAAATAATCAGTATATAGTTCTGTTACCTACAAAAATCATCTGATTTATTTATGTAATGAATTTCCCAATCTACAAGACGATCTTAATATTGTTATTAGTACATAGTCCATATAAAATGGAACGCTCCTTAAGGACGTACATAATGTGTTGTTGTTTCGTCCTTTTTAATTTTTTTTTTTACTCAGGCTTTTGCTAGCATTGGAGGTTATCTGGCTGGAACCTCTGAACTGGTTGACATGATTCGATCGTATGCTTCCGGATTTATATTCACTACCTCATTGCCACCACATTCGTTAGCAGCTGCTCGAACCAGTATTCAGATTTTAAAGTCTTCTGAGGGTAGAGAACTTCGTACAGAACACCAGAGGAGAGTATCTGTTGTACGCCAGAGACTTCGACAAGAAGGTCTACCCGTGATTGATGCACCTTCACACATTATTCCACTACATGTAAGCTTTTTTATGACTAGTTTTATATTTCGCTAAATACTGTCGAAGCTAATGGAAAGCAGCAAGACCAGATGGAATTTCTCCAGAAGCACTGAAAACGGACTCAGAGACAACAGCCGACATACACCACTATTCCAGAAGGTTTGTAAAGAAGAAAAGGTGCCTTCCGATTGGAAGAAGGGCTACCTTGTCAAGCTCTCAAAGAAAGCTGACCCAAGTGTTTGCGAGGAGTGGCGCGGAATCATGCTTCTGTACACTCCAAGCAAAACATTAAGCTGCATCATCTTGGAGAGACTACAAAATGCTCTGCATTCAACTGGATTCCGACTGGAACAGACTAGCTGGCTTCAGGAAGAACAAATCATGTGCGGATCAAATTTCAACAATACGCATCATCATAGAACAGAGTATAGAATGGCAGTCAACTCTCTACCTCAACTTCATCGACTTTGAAAGGGCCTTCGATCGAGGTGTTGACCGAGAAGTAATTTGGGAGCTGCTTCAATACTACCGTTTTAGTGCCACAAACCTTTATCGACCTCATATACTGCTACATGCCTAGTGATTCACAACGGAAAGCAGATCAGTGACGCCTTTGAAATGAAGACAGGAGTTAGACAAAGCTGCCTACTATCACCCATGATCTTCTTGATACTGGTCGCCTGGATCACGCAGCAAAACAGTGAGGAGCAAAGAGATGGGTATACGCTGGACCGATGAAAAGACCCTAGAAAATTTGGATTTCGCCAATGATGATTTATGTCCAATATCTTATGTCTTATATCTTAAGGCGAAAACTAACAGGTTGACAGGAGAGGCAGCCAAAACGGGACATCAAGTGAGTGTAGAGAAGGCAGAGGTGATGAAGATATCCAACCACCACCACCACGAGCTGCCAATCACCACCGACTGGAGAAATCTCTTTCACCTACCTAGACAACATCATTCCAACTACAGACGGCACAGATGAGAATGTCAAAGCCAGGATTGGAAAGACAGCAAGACAGGCCTTCATTAACCTGAAACCAGTGTGGAGATCTACTGCACTCCACTCAGCAATAAGCGTGAACAAGATCCGGATTTTCAACACCAACGTAAAGTCAGTGCTTCTATACGGTTCAGAGACTTGGTCCGTTACTAAAAGCGTTTCTAACAAACTACATACATGCATCATCAACAGCTGCCGCCGCCTACACTCACTCGATACTGAAGATCAGGTAGCCAGAAAGAATGAGTAACAGGGACCTCTAGCCTGGCAACGAAGCAACTAAGAACCCATCACCTAACAAATATGCAGAAGAAAGGGGAGATGGATTGGACATACAGTGTGAAGACCGATTGGGGACATCAGACGCTAGGCCAGGCCGTCGAGTGGAACCCGCATGGGAAACGACGAGTTGGGCGTTCGAGGCGAGGGTGACATGGAGGGGGTGGGGCGGAGTTGGAGGAATAAATGAAAGCTTCTGGGCAGTCGTGGAGACGTGCTAGTCAAGCATTATGTTCCACTAGGAACCCAATGGACAAATAATAATAATAATGGAATTCAGTGTGGACTGTCGTTGTCACTAATTATTTTCTGAGAACAGGACTGATGGAAATCGATAACAAGTGGTTACAATGTATCATTTGACAGTTTAAACATGATTTCTGACTCAGCCTAATTATTCGTGTTACCTTTTTGTAACTCTCGCTACCATTTCTACAATATTTTATTTTTTTTACTCGGTTTTCATATGGTCGTGACCTGATGTTAACTTTTATCTTCATGTTTGTTTTCTTGTCCAACAATTGGAAAAATGAAGTGTCCAACTTGTTTAGCTATCGCTTTGTCACCTAAGGGTATTCTGAAGTAAATTAACCCAATTCCTGCCATAATATTTAACAGATAGAAGTTGATAAGGTTTACTCACAGTTATTAAACTTATAAACCTGTTTGGTGCTAAGCGTTTGGAGAAAGTCAATAGTAAGTAAGCCTTGCACAAAAACTTACTCATTAAACAACATAATGAGAAGACGAAGATTATATGAAACATGTTTGATGTATTAGGGCCATACATTTCGAACAATCTGATCACATATGGACTTGTGAAACTATTTATATGACAGTTTACGAAAATGATCAATGAAGAACATAGAAACAGGAAGGGCAGGGGAAAAAAAATGTAAATCATATCAGTCTTGGTATAAAAATTAAAACCTATACAACCAACATCAGTACAAATTGTTTTTTTACGTATAAAAATGGATTGAAATTTTATGAATGGCCAGAACTTTTAAGGACTCGGTTCTGACTACTTTTATGTAGTACTTTGAAAGCGATTTTAATGACTAGTTTCTAGTATACATTTAGGAATAGATAAAGATAAATATTCGCTACCTGCACTTGTCAAATCTGTTGAGGTCATTCGCTTTTAAAACGATTTAGGTACATGTTCAACTGTCCTTAACCGCATATCACGACTACTCTCTATGTGTATGTGTCCACATATAAATGTAAATTGATAAACACAATGGGATGTAATGCAACCGTTTACGTGCTGTTTTGGTTTGTACGTATCTGTTATCTATTATTATAGGTGTAAAACTTGGGCATTGTGGTAGAATTTTATTCCATATTAGATTTGTTTATTTGATTGATAACACACAGTGATGTCACATTGATATGATCATGAGCAATAATTTATGTTGGAAACGTCATCAAGTCAATAATACTATATCACCGTGTGTTATAAATCAAATAAACAAATCTAATATGGTACGTATTTAATTATTCTTAGAGGTTTTACGCTTGTTTTTGTATGTTTCATCGCCAGGCTAGACGACTTCATCAGCATTTACTTCATAAAGAAGCATTTCCACTGTCGAAGAGACTTTAAATGATTTATAGCTCTAGTTAGTCAGCACTGCAACTAGGAGTGCTACCATGTAGCCGTCCACACAAAGCAGTCTATACACATATTGACGATTGAGCGAACAAGATTCATATACACAGTCCACAAATACTACCTATTCAATAAAAATGTGTACCACATTGCATTGCTGAACCGTCGCCTACCTCAGCGTTCAATACTAGCAAAGTTGGATTAAGTTCGAAGACGGCTCAGAGAGTGACTAGACCCAAACGTGGCACTAATCCATGAAGTTTCTGACTGCTGATTTGATATGTGTAGAAAGGTGTAGACTACCTGACTACAGTAAAAATCAGTGGTTGAGAACTGTCGGTGAAATTACTGAAAATCGAACGAAATGGTGCAGATGTATTCACTCTTTGATCATAGCTGGAATTTCTTTTTCTCCTATCCGCCTTCGTCTACTCTTTTTGTATCCACCTGTGAAGTGTGACAACTTAAACCGATATACTAGTGTATGAGGTTCTGCGTTGACTTTTGTCTATCATCTGCAACATCAATTCAATGTATCGGAAGACCTATGATGTTCACATTCATTTACTGCACTAAGCAATATTAAGATCAACGTTCTGATTTTATAACTTTTTTGTGAGCGACTTTTTTAAAAATCTTACATGTTATTAATTATTAATTGAATGATTCAACTATAAAATTAATCCTTCCAAACAGGTTGGTGAAGCAAAACTATGTACAAGAATATCAGAGGAATTGTTGTCTGAACACAATATTTATGTACAATCAATTAATTATCCAACAGTAGATATTGGTGATGAACGCTTGCGTATTGCACCGACACCGCATCATACAGATAAGTTAACTGATCAATTAGTAGATTCTTTATGCTCTGTATGGAAAAAATACAATCTACCCCTTCATATTGAGTCAACACGAAAACTCAATCGATATGCCGGTTAACTTATTTATTATTTTCAACCAATCAATAATTATTAACATTGTTAGCTTAAATTAGGTGATAACTGAGCACTTTGATTGGTTAACATTATTTACTTCTTCAGTCATGTACAAGTAATTAAATTCTACATTATTTCAATAAATTCTTAGCTTTACTCTATAAACGGTTTTTTTTCCCGATTTGCACAAATGAAAACAAAACAGTTGTATAAAAAAAAACGCAGTTTATTTAATGTTGTAAAGTATCCATTTTTAATCAGATATAGGACGTTTATACCAAAATCGTGCACGGTTATCATCACTACATGACATAAATGCTGCTGTTGTTGGTGAATGTACAAAGCATCGAATTGGACCGTTATGATCTAATATATGCAAAGTAAGATGAAAGATTAAAGGTAGTGGGATAACACAAATCAGTTATTACAAGCGATATTCAGAAACCCTATTCTCCTTGGGAGATATGGTGCACACTCTACAACTCAATTATTGCTCACAAACTAATTTATCCACTGATAGATCGTTCTTATCATCTTCTATCACTGATAATCAATACATTGACTAAGTGATAAATCGTGTTATATCAATTTTTCTGTTTTATTGACTAAAATATTTAGAAATGAATTATATTTAAGGCTTATGCAACGTAAGGTGTGATATAACCTCTGATCAATCAAGTTGGGTTGTAGGTATCCTCAAAATAGCCGTCAAACAATTATGTCACAATGATGAGATGCTCTGTACTCAATTCAGTCTTGTACTGTTAATCTAAGATACGGTTGTTTCAAGTATCCAACACTGAATGACTGGTAGTTTAAAAACATTGCTAATACAACCGAAATTGGCACCATCTAGGAATTTCTGACTTACTGCTAGAGATGATGATATGGGGATTCTGTATGTGAGTGTCTCCAATGTTTCTGAGGTGTTAAGTGGATGTAGAAAATATATGAAAGGATTACACTTGAGTGTTTCTTTTAAAAAGTGAAATCAGTCTAGGCGAGTTACAGGTACAGCAAATCGAAATGTAACATTAGTTTATTTCCAATGAAAACATCCATGGGGATAACATCCACTTCTCTTCTGTTTTTAATTAATCTGTAAATGTACAGATTAACAATGATGTGACAACTTCAGTCTTTGAAATATCATTAGAATTCGAGTGCACAAAAAATGTGTGAAAATGGTAAATTTGCTGTGACTAACTTCATCTCTGTTAAGCTTGTAGCAACGTTAACGCTAATAAAACTGTTAGGAGAAAAGTAAGACACATAAGAGAAGCATTTCAAAGTTGCTTGGTAGATGAGCCCGTTTTCCTATGAATTGGGGTTAAAATATTTAGTTCTATGTAACATATTGATTGTTGTCTAGTCCTGAGTGTTGACCAAATTCTATCAGTCGTCTTTTGCAGTATGTCCACACAAGGTAGCTAAGGAAGGGGGGGGGTCACCATCGCGGTGCATTTACGATGGGTGCTAGTTGGTTGAAGGCAATCAACAGGAAGCCCTGGCCGGCCTGGGTTTCGTTCCTGTTAGCACTCGTCAAGTAAGACGTAACTGCAATGTCGAGGGGACTGATGTCCCCTGTGATATTGGAATCCACGAGACCCAGCTTTGTATTTAACGACGTATTCTGACCACGCCTGACTTTTTCTGGATTACAAACACTGACCGTTTACTGGAGAGCAAGCAATCTTATGTCCTATGTTATTACTGTAGTAGTTGCATTGTGCTCAGTAGGCAGTTACTTATTTAATACGACTAAAAGTAATTATGAGCGTCCAATATTTATTGTATTGCCCACTAATATTACTGTACACTGGCTCACTCAGTTACTTAACTGAAAAAAAGGTTGACTAGTTATAACTTCACATCACAACCAATTGGAAATTTCACTTCTCTGTGTTACTTTTACTGCATTATTTCGAGATTTCTTTAGCTCTTTTCAGCATATAGTTAAACGTGTGAATAACGCAATGAGACTCTTCTGTAACCATTTGAAATGATCAAAATACAATATGAATAAAAAGGATTGAATTGTTAAAATGCAGAAACTTACTTAGTGCTAATAAACGTTGTCTGTCAGCATTACGAGAGTCCCAGCAACATAAACTTTTAGTTGCTTCATCTGGAAAGAGTACTATTTAAGGTATTTAAAAAAAAGAAGAAAAGTATGTTAACTAAGAGGAAACAAGACTATTATGGTGAAATACCTTGTGAAATAGTATAATTGCTTGTACTATACCGTCCAGCTGACGGGTCCCAAATAGGGCGAAATGCGCATCCTGCATTCCACTGCTAGCCACTATCTGTGAAATGCTATTGCTATTGTGAAATGATGCTATGAATGAAAGCTAACACAACTGTCATAGTTTTACAACAAGACTATTACCATTCGTTTGGTGAACATTTGAAATGGTTTAACTTCATACTCGAGTAGAATTACGGCTCATCTGTTTGAGGAGTTGACTTTCAACCGATAGGTCACAGGTTAGAACACCACTCCACCTATCAAAGTTTGGAGAGCCATATCCATTGACCCTCACGCTATAAATCCATGGCTCATTGCCTACTGCATGATTGTGCAGAGGATTCACGCTTGAGCGCATCTGCCCTATTATTTATGTATGTACAAACTTCCATCTATCTAATTATTTAACAGTCTTGTTTATACTGGGTGATGATTGAAGGTGAAATTAAAATTTGAACCGCGGCCAGATTCGAACCAGCGACAAACGGGTTTCCGGCCTGATGCTCTACCAATTGAGCTACGAGGTGAAATGTCGCTGGTTCGGATCCGACTGCTATCCAAATTTCCATTTCACCTTCAATCATCACTCAGTATAAATACTAGTCTGTTAAACTATGGCTATCTCAGGACAGCCAAATGATAACAGTCGTATGTTAAGAAAGCAATTTTGATGGATTATTAGGTGCTTGTCAAATGATAACTTAAATGATAAATTTGAATGATCAGATGGTTAATGCAAGGGAAATAAAAATTATCGACTAGTTGTATTCAACTAGCCTAAGAAGCAAAATTAAATTAACAATCGACGACAAATTTATTCTCTGCTTGTATATATATATATATATATATATATATATATATATATATATATATATATATATGAGGAGAATTTAACGGAAACAGTTAAGAATAATCTGATCAAAAAAGGGGGAGGGGGTTGAAAAACGAAAAAGGAACGAAGCACACCAAGACTAAAATAAAGGCCAAGGTAGAGATAAAGACTACATACTTATTTTGCATACAAAGGTCAGGCTTCAGTTCATGGATAGCCAATGTCTCTACTGTTTTTTAGAAGTTGAACATGGAGGAAAAGTGAGATATTTGAGTGAACTCCATAGACAACCCTAAAGTCATTGTTTGGGTCAGTTTAGTTCGAATCGATTAAATGTTCAGGGATAGGACTTCTGATATATTTCCTTTCTCCCTTATAAAACCAGGTAGGAATATGTTCTCGTATACGTGTTGACAGCAATCTCTGACTACGGCCGCTATCCCTTGCTCCACGACTGTTAAAGATCAACTAAAGTTTGGTTGAGAAAAAAGTCCTACCAATTGATCTGGAAAGAGGTTTTTTTTAAGATATCTGATGCTGCATCACCTTTAAATTTAAATAACCGTTTCCCGCAAGCGTCCCTCTTAGAGAGTCAAGTTCAACTTGGACACATTCTATGCTACAAATATTACGTATTCGATAGCAGAGTGAGTGAATGAGGTTCCTTTCTCTTATGATCGGCACTCAGAAATAGAAATTAGTAAGCTGTCCGTTCCATGCGAGTTTCCTATAAATGGATTTTTTTCAGCATTCTATTGCTACGTCTCGTATTCAGCGCGTTAAAGAAAGGAATAGCTCATTACAATTGCCTCTCAATAGTGAGTTCCAACGCTGAGTGACAATTGTTAAACTCGCGTAAGATGTCATCTAAATCGATAGTTGAGTCACAAATAACGAATATATCGTTTATAGATTTCAAAATGATTAATAGTTTGGCTAAGATTAGAATTTTCTAATTTCGACATAAAGCAACCCTACCATTAGACGTTCCAGTGGAGATCCCACTGCAATCCTCAGAAAGACAAAGATTTCAACGAGGAAAAAATTTCTCTTTAGGTGAAGTAATACATGTGAATATCACTCAGATAAAGTGCAATGTAATAGAAAAATTGTTATGACAAAATTAAAGATGAGGGAGAACCAGATGTAGGAAACATGTGATCAAAATGGTAAGCCATGTTCAGGATAGTAAAAGGGACCGTACAAACTGTTTCTGCACGCATAGTTCCGATCTTCAAGCCGTTTACAATACAAAGTAGGTGTATGCATGCACCTTTTGATAAATTCAATTTGATCTTGTAAGTTCAAATGATGATTTGGAAGCTGCATAGTTGTAGTCATCTACATACCTATCATAATGGGAGATGCTCTCGAACCGGACATGAAATTTTTATCGACGAACGTCCTATGTATCCAGAGTGGGTGAATATGTACAAGTAATTGGACAAACGAAGTAACATTTCTCTAGTATTAAGATGAATCAAAGGGTGATTAGAATATACGGAGCATAGGATGTTTTTCTTATTGACCTTGTTAGACGGTTCTTAAATATTTCGTCTGCATTAGTGCAGATCTTCTTTCTTGACATAGTTGTTATGTCTAAATGTGTTTTTTTTATCATCTGTCTACTGTTATATTCTATAAAACATGGTGTATACCCATTTCCCATGAGGCTTTGTTTAAATTAATTTGGTCCATCCTCTACACTATCTTCTCTATATATTTTTCAGATGTATGGTGAGAAAAAACAAACCAAATTTCTTTCTCTTTCTATATGAAGAAAATTGTTAGTTGCTCATTCCACGTTGCTTTTCTGTAAATTGATCCATCAAGTTCACTTGTTATCGGCACATCAAGAAATAGGATTTCTGAATCCATTTCTTCTTAACGAGTGAATTTAATGGATGGATGGCAATCATTAAATATTTTCAATATACTTTGTAGATCACAAATATGATCACAGATGATAAACGTATCGTTCATATTATCTCTTATAGAAGTCTAGCTTTCTAGTAGTGTGTCAGAGTATTATTTTCCAGGTTTGCTAAGAAGAAATCGCTCAACACTGAACTTCGTTGGGATCCCAATTACGACACCATTCCTCTGTCTATAGATCTCATTGTTGAAAATGAGCTGGACAATTAGCGTAAACCTAAGAATGAGTTCCCTTTTAAGTAAAATGTGGATTTCCTAATATTTAAACCATGTGAGTCTTGTTAAATGGAAGAGATATTTGTAAACATAGACCAAATATTTAAGGAAAACATGGTTTAACCAGTAAATTTTAAACCCTTAATACAATCAACAAACTCAAATGTATCATGTAGTGATTGTTTAAAGACTCACCTTCTTGATGAAACACAGAAATTTGTTATTGTCTACCTCAACCAAAACTAAGTTGATAATCAAGAAGATCTATTCATAACAGTATATTACATGGAGACAAAATCAATTATAACTCTAATATTTGTAACCAGATATCACAGTTTCGGTTCAATCGGGTTCCAGGCGCTGACACTTTGCGATTTCGAGAGAGTTGTAGGAATACAAAAAAAAGTCACTACCGAATGATCTGATTCAATCGACAACATTAGCGCTTTTCGAACTTATTAGTGTATAATTATAGCGTCTAGGAATCGAATTCAGAACACTCTCTTCCTTGCATACAAGGTAATCGCGTCACGATAATGTACATGAACCTATGCCTCATTGGTTTGGAGATTCGATTTCCAACCGATACGTCGAGGTTCGAACCCCGCTTCGCTAACTGAGGCCTGCGAAGTCAGGTAGTATCATCATTAGGCCTCAACAATACGTGCGGTTCATTGTCTACTACATTAATGAATATGCACAAAGTTGTTGAGTGAATTTCGATCTTCATGATAAAAGCAACACGCCGTTTACTTAAATAGTTGTTTATAATTTCTTTCCTCTATGTTCTGTATTACTTTAGGCGTTTAGTGGATGTCATGTATTATTTCCCTACGGATTACTATCACAATAAATGTGACTTCAGTGGTACATAGATGTCTAAATGTTACTATTACTATTTATCGAATTAAATATCTACCACACATATAAGAGATTAGTGTGTTTAAACTAAAGGACAAACAATAGCTCACAGAAAGTAGTTCATATTCAACAATAGACAGCGAAATCAATGAATTCGTTTACTCACCATAATCTTCGGTATGATTGAAAACAGCCATTGATCTATGTGTTTGATGTCCAACTGTACCAGCTCCTGTATATGTAATAAGACATCGTCCAGTAGCCAATTCCCACAGTTTGACTGCACTGTCTTTGCCAGAACTAAGAATATACTGAAGGTAAAAATATATTAAACATAAGTATCAGTAGTAGCCTTTTCCACCTACCTAGGCAGCATCGTTCCAACTGCAGACGGCACAGATGAGGACGTCAAAGCCAGGATTGGAAAGACAGCAAGACAGGCCTTCATTAACCTGAAACTAGTGTGCAGATCTACTGCACTCCACTCAGCAATAAGCGTGAACAAGATCCGGATTTTCAACACCAACGTAAACTCAGTGCTTCTATATGGTTCAGAGACTTGGTCCGTTACTAAAAGCGTTTCTAACAAACTACACACATGCATCATCAACAGCTGCCGCCGCCTACACTCACTCGATACTGAAGATCAGGTAGCCAGAAAGAATGAGTAACAGGGACCTCTAGCCTGGCAACGAAGCAACTAAGAACCCATTACCCAACAAATATGCAGAAGAAAGGGGAGATGGATTGGATTGGACATACAGTGAGAAGACCGATTGGGGACATCACGCGCTAGGCCAGGCCGTCGAGTGGAACCCGCATGGGAAACGACGAGTTGGGCGTTCGAGGCGAGGGTGACATGGGTGTGTGTGTGTGAGGAATGAATGGAAGCTTCTGGGCAGTGGGGAGCCATGCCGAAAAGACTACAGAGTGCAATGGAGAGATGCTAATGAAGCATTACGTTCCACTAGGAACCCAACGTACAAATAATAATCAATAAAATTCGTAGAACAATATATGGGGGTCGATAATCTGTTCCGAACGGCCTTTTAAAACAGTAAATGAGTAGATTAAAGGGTACGACAATGATGAAGGTGAAGGGGACAGAAAAGTTAGACTTCATTTGCAGTCCTTATATCCACAGCTATCATCAGCATGTTTACTTGGTTAACAGAAAATTGCCTCATAGATACTCGTCAATGGAGCCCAAATATCAGTTGAGTGTTCTGAGATAAGCTGCTTACTGATTAATATGTCAGAAATTAATGTTTAGTATATAAATGATTGCCTATGACAATATTCCAAGCAGAATCAATGCCACTAATGGAATAAACGTATCAAAGAACGTAACCTTAGGTACATCTGACTTCACAGGGGTTGGTCTACTCCTTGGAGGTCATCTGGTTGACTTGGAGTATGCGGACGATATTGTCCCTGTTGGGTGAAAATGCTGCGTCTTTTGGACGTGTTGAGCAGAAACCTGAGTATGTTTGGCACGCATCTGGCTGGCACTTGTCAAAAGTAAGGTGCTCCAGGACTGATCTGGAAGCACTCCCAGGCTGATGATGATAGTCAATGAAATGTGCCGGCCACTTCACTTACTTTGGGAGTTGGATTAATGCGAAAGAGATGGTTGCTGACGAAGTTTCAGCTCGAATACAAAAGGCTCATTTGGCATTTGTCAACTTGGGTCATCTGTGGCATCCATTAGCGAGATATCCTGCTAACTATCAAAGGACAGGCATACTGTGCTGCTGTTTGTTGTCGTGTTATATGACTATGAGACGTGCGGTTAAAGGGTTTTGACCATAGGTGACGTTTGCTGGAATCATCGTAGGGGTAATGTTGAGGTCAGGTGGATGGTACTCTGCAAGAGAGGCAAGTCGATCGATAAGGGTATCAACCGTAGTGGACTGAGATGGCTTGGACACTTATTGCATATACCGACCCACCGCCTACCTCGACATCCCATTCTAGGTGAAGTTGAATTTGTTTAGAAGAGGGTTCAGGGTGGTCAGGCCAAGGTCTAGCACAAGTCGATGAAGTCTCCAACTATTGGTTTGAGTCGTGTAGGCTAACTGGTTGGAGTTCGCGAAAATATGGGAATCAGTTTTTGAGGACTCTTTGTGACGTCTGATAATCAGTCACACTAGCGCAGAAGTATTCACTTCTTAACCTTGAATATTTAGACTGACCGTTATCTTTAGATTTCTTACTGTCACACAACTTTGTCTACTTTGATATCACTCTTTTTCTATCCATCTGCTCTTTGCATACTAATGTGAAGTGTGGCAACTTGAGCCGATAAACCTGTATGAGAAGTTCTAGGTAGATTTTGTCAGTCACTAATCTGGTATGCATTTGTAGAAGATACTATCTGAAGTTGGAGAGATGCATACTTGTGAAGCTTGATAAAGCTTACTCAATATGTTAGATCATTTTCCTCAATAACAAAGCGTAATTTCGAGCTTTATTCAAATTTATGGTTGCTATTTTCACTGTATAAACTAATTTCTAATGGATGGTATTCACTTAGTGCCAAAGTGAAGAATTTCAATTTTAATAAGCACCTCACACATTCACAGTTGAACATTATCAAGACAGTAGGAATGGCAAATGTTTAGGATATTATATTCAGTTATTAACTTTCCTGCATAAATATAATATTCATTCAATTAATCAGAAGACTTTTACAACCAGAGACTGTTAGATAACTCTGGTCAACTCAATTCCCTTTCTTCTTCTTCACTTGTCTTACAAAAATGAAACAAACACCAAAGGTGAAAGTAAGTAGATATGTCGAAGTGACTTAAGTGTTGAACTTCTAACCGAATTCAAACTCCTAATTGAGCCTTATAACCGGATGGTATCACAAAGCCTGTATAAAATAAATGTTGCTCTTATGGTGAATAAACCTGTACGACGTAGGGTTACATTAGTAGAAATTAAAATACAGGAAATTACGATATTTGAGACAGAAAGAATACAGTTACTTCATCGGAATCCATTTTTCTTCACATCACTGAATATAATAAGCCGTTACTTTCTATTATCTCATGAATGGAGCTGTCGCTCATCGGCTTGAGGGGATGACTTTCAACGAATGGTTTACGAGTTCGAACCCCACGAGATTTGGGCAGCCAGGTAACATCATCACCAGTCCTCACAAAATAGGTGTGGCTCTTGGCTTACTCTATACGAAAGTGCACATGATTGCTGAGTACAGTTCAATTCAAATTTTATCTTATGAACTACATTCGATCGATTCAGGTGCATATTTATTCACCCTTTGGAGTCACTTAACGGTTTGTCACATTCTATACGTTTCTCCAGCTATAATCAGATTTCGAAGGTCATCTAACCAGTGATTGCATATATCTTCAAGATATGATGCCAAGAAATGAGTTGTGATATAGATTTAATTTACTTTGAACACTTTTTAAATAGGGAAATAATCCGTAGCCATGAGGATTCCTGATAATAAAGTGAGTGTGAAAAAAAGCTAAATAAGCTAGACAAATAGGTGACTTTGAAGGCCATTCTAGCAACTGCTGAGATAACCAATCACGTTCCTCGATTCTGTGAAAAACTACCTTTCCAGACGATATTCTGACATATGATTGGTTAAGTTAGCAGTTGCTAGAGTGACCTTCAAAATCAGTTTGGACAAACAGAACGACTTAACAACTCGAGTTATTCTATCAAATCGGGAACAGTTAGTTCTGTGTATTAAGTTGCTGAATGACTTAAAGGCCATCCTAGCAACAACTGAAATAACCAATCAGACTACTCTATTTTATGAAAGTCTGACTTTCCAGCCGAAATGCAAAAACCTAATTGGTTGTTTCGATCGTTGCTAGAGTGGCCTTCAAAGTCGCCCAAGTTGTCAGGAAGGGAAGTTTACTTCACATCTGCCAACTAAAATGCTATTATATCATGTGAATGAAATATCCGAAAAACACTAAATTTGAGGCGCAACCATATACATTTGTGATTGGCGTGTACTTGCCACGTAAAGTGAAATAATATGCGTAAACAAAAATTGCAACCATACTTTGATTCTTCATAAAAAATGACTTTTAAGGCCATCCTAGGAACTGATGAGACAACCAATTACGTTTCTCGAATCTATGAAAAATTCTTTCAAGCCAAAATACCAGAACCCAGTTGGCTATTTTGGGAGTTGTTAGAGTGGCATTTAAAGTCGCCCGTGTAGTCACGTTAAAACAAATCCAAATCTGATGTAGTTTCTTTCGGGGCGGCTTTAAAGGCCACCCTAGCAATGACTGAAATGACCAATTAAACTATGGTATTTCACCTGGAAAAGTACTTTTCCATAAAATAAAGGGATGTAATCAGCTATCTCACCACCCACTTTAAAGACCACCCTAGCGACTATTAAGACAACCAATTATGGCTCTTTATTTTATGGAAATCTAACTTCCAAAACAAAATGCCAAAACCTGATTGGCTGCTCCAACAGTTCCTAGGGTGGTCTTTAAAACCATTCTGACTACACAGTTAACTCGAAATTGGTCTAGAAAATATTTGGATATATAGTATTCGTTGAAAAATACCAATTACAATCATTGTTTAACATACCTTGCCATTACGTGAAAAGACCACAGAACACACAGATGCACCATCGTGAGCAGCTTCAAATGTGTTGACACATCTACATGAAACCCCATCCCAGATCTTGAAACTACCATCCATCCCAGCAGTTACAAATGCAGTTCCATTCGGAGACCATCGCACCATATTTACTGCGCTCATATGCTGATCTTCTGGAACAGCTGACACATAACAACGACAAGTCTGTACATCGTATAAGCGTACTGTGATAGATAAACAGGAGAATAAGGAGGTACAATGTTTAGTCAACAAAGTATACAGTATGAATATTTTTCTGAAAATATAATACGTGTTATGTAAGCATACACACACACACACACAGGGTTTGTTCTATTCTACACCGTTAACTTCGAGAAATCTGTTCAGTAAACTGATAGAAACGAACTGAATAAGTGAATATAACACTTGACTATATCGTATGAAGTGAACTGAAATGGAATTCTCTGAGTGATTTTATATAACTTCAGGTTATAAAAAGTACTGTTGAAACTTCAGCCAATACTGTTTAACGGTTTAGTTGTATTTCTTATCAATGATCATCGGCCCAATGCTCTACCAACTGAACTATAAGACTCGACTGCTAACCAATTTTTAGTTCATTTCAATCACCAGACTACCATGTGAATTCCTGATGCGTTACTATCGCCTGATGGTACTCACACACTGGCTGCCCATTCAGAACTTGTCATCCCAATCCATATCTGCTTGAATCAGAGAGGGGGAGCATGATATTGTTTATGAGTTTGAGTATCTGAGATAGCTATGAGATTTTACAGACTGTGTGCAAACTGTTCATTTTTTCAATTGCATATCAGCTCATTTAAACCAACCAACTACATTCGGTTGGCCTCAGCAATTCAATACTTTCAACTTGACCTCACACAATGGGACTGGTTGTCCAACGCTTCGTTCATGCAGATCTAGTACGATCTGCATCACTATGAAGATCAACATAGGACCGGGCATTACTAAGTAACGGTCTAAGTTGCCGCACCTCATTTCATCACGTCAAATGACAAGGCAGTAAAATGGAAGATGAAGAAGGAAAGAAAAATCAGTCAAAGGAAGTGGAAGTAGAAAGTAGTAAAAGAGAAAAGGAGAAATGAGGAAATGATTTGGTTGATTATAGGGGTTAAGATGAGGATAATGTGAGTATACATCACCAGTGACATCGGTTGTAAGCCATATCATGCAGAGTCTCCAACCACTGGCTTCTCTTGTCCCGCGGACCCCAAATCCGCCCTACCTGGCTGAAACGAACAGTCAAGGACTTCATGCATTGATGCCATGTTTTAGTCTAGCCGCCTCGAACCTTTTCCCAGCCTCAACCTACTTCGGCCAACATTGTGCTACGATGCAGATGGTGCTTAAGCATACGTAAGTTACGTCTCAGCCAATCATCTCAGTCGATGAAAGGTTCACAACAGCATCAACTATCTTACCTCTCCTACCTAAAACTCTACTTCTAACTTCTGCGTTACTCATGTGGTAGCACTGCGAAACACGGTCTATGCTAAGGTAACAGTGGTCAAGTCTTCTCATGTCTTCCACCTTCAATAGCTATATTTCACAGCCATGCAGTAGAACAGAGCGGACTGCAGCACAGTACGCTCGACCCTTAATAGACAATCGGATATCGTGGCAGCGCCACAGATGGCGTAAGTTGGCAAAAGTCAACCGAGCTTTATGCATCTATGTATCAACTGTCTCACCTCTCCTGAGTAAAATCTGCAGTTGAGTTTGAAGGGCTTATGAATACGTATATTGTTCAGTATTACATTTCGTCAGTCTATCATTGTATTCTTGAATGTGATTCGCAAACAACTAGTAAGTTAATAAAAAAAAACGACTTACATGTTTTATGTTGTGTACCAACAAGCAAGAAATTACCAGATGGATGAAAATGTAAAGTTCGAATTGGGGAAGCCTCCTACAGATAAAAACAAAAATGATGAAAATTCCTTAGAAAATAGTGTGAGGAAAAAAAACTAAAAAATATTTCGTAAATACATTTTAGTTTATTTGAATGCTGCTTTCTAATGCATATGGCGATTCACGTGTACGTGGTATGTTAGAAAAACAAATTGATTTATGCAGAAATTTTTTTAAAGAATCGAGTAATTCAACTGTTTATCCCTCAAAATTTTTAGGATGCCAAATAAAGTGGAATTTCAGCAAGCAGACAGGCAACTTGTTCGGGAAGTCTTAAAACAAAAGAACTATCTGGGAAAACTATTAAAAAGGATAGAAAAAGGTTTATCGAATAAATATACGAGAAATTCAAGCCATAAAGATTGGATAAGTACTATAGTACTTCCTTACCGAACATCCACATCAGAGGAAATAAGATGTATCCTTAATAGTTACAACATCAGAGTATTCTTTAAGGTGACGAACACACTAAACTTACACCTGTGTAAATTAAAAGATCCGATTCCCCATTCAGAACAACAGAACTATGTTTATAAGGTAGGCTGTAGTGAATGCGATGCCATATGCATTGAAGAAACATCACATCAAGTACTAACATGTTTAGTCGAACACGATTGAAGTTGCGAGAAACCATCAAAAAATTCCTATGATCTGGAAAATTTTGAAAAAAGCTGTCATCGTGATTCATGCCTTATATTCAGGTCATAAAATATCATCTGAAAAGACAAAAGTCCTTCAAGAGGGTTTTTATTCTTACAAAAAGCGGGCAATTCCAAAAGCTTTGCAAATCTGTTCGTACCCTTCTTCGGTCAACAGAAAAGATGGGTTAGACATCGCACAAATATGGCAAATATTAAGGACTTGCATAAATAGTTGCAAATGAGTATATGAAGAGAAGGCAGAACACAACACTGTATTCTACATGATTTATTCCGAATTTAATCATGTTTGAATAGTTTCCGGTGTTATTTCGCTTAATCGTCTTAATTACGTATTTTAATAATTTTTCTAGCCCTATTACATAACACTTTATTGATCTGCTATTTTCAATAATTTTACGCCCCTTTCTGAGTTATATACATTCTAGGATCCATTCTATGTATTACACAATCCATTTTGTTATCATTCATACTTCATCCGTTGTTGAACGTACCTTTATCGGTAACACTATTATTATCATTATTTCGTTAACGCTATTAGAAGACGAAGATCCTCTGAAAAATGTGATGTATTTGCGCAATACATTTCGAACAGTCTGGTCACATATTTACTTGTCAAGTCAATTTATATATGAAAATTGCAGGTCAAATATAGTGAAAATGAAAAGGTTGTGACACTAGTTTGGGTAATATAATCACATAAGGATTCTCAAGGTAAATTAAGTGAAACAACAAATTGTTTTTCTACGCACAGTGAATGGCTAGATTATATTACAAAAACTAGTGTCACAACCTTTTCATTTTCATCATATTTGACCTTCAATTCTCATATATAAATTGACTTGATAAGTAAATATGTGACCAGATTGTTCGAAATTTATTGTGGAAATACATCACATTTCATAGATAATCTTCGTCTTCTAATAGCGTTATCGCTCTGGCGTTTAAAGCGATCGCTCCCGAGTCCGAGTACTGGTGAAACAACACCACTTACTGAGAGACAGGTACATCCAGCTGACGAGTCCCAAATAGGAATAAATGTGCATCCTGGATTCCACTGCTCGCCACTGCCCATCATTACTATACACAGTTTAAAAGACAAGCAATATCGAGGCATCCGTATACGAGCCCACATGCCAACAGAGACTGGTCAATTCGGTCCAATCAACAACGGCGTAATACAAGTAATAACACTAAAGGGACTAACTGTTTTAAATTATCATTATTGTTAATTATTGTATATTGCTTGATGTTCAGCTTGATATTTATCTTTCCTAAATAGTAACCTATTTTTTCTCACCCATGATAACTCACAACCCATATGCCAATAGATGTCGAACAATTCGATCCAATAAAACAACGGAGAGTTACAAGTATATCAATAAGTATTAATTCCATATTAGATTTGTTTATTTGATTTAACACACACACACACACACACAGTGATCTAGTATTATTCACTTGATGACGTTTCGAGCATAAATTATTGCTCATAATCATATAAATGTAATCACACTACTTTCGACATTTGATTTTTATAGTTACGTCACTTTATATGAGTTGTTTTTATTGGTAGCAAAATTTTCTATATCTCTGGTATAGGTGTTGCGTCATTTCTATTACATGTGTAGAGTGTTGATTCGATGAACAAAGATTCAGTAATCAATCTCTCTCTCTCTCTCTCCACCTAATTATATTGGACTTCAGTACAGTGGCTTTATCCCACCCTATTGTGTGGTTGTGTTAATGCATGTATTGCAATAGCCGAGTGTTTTTCTAGATTATTGATCTTATTTAGGTCTGTCATTCTATATTTAGCTAAATGCCTATGTTTGGCTATTCTAACTGAGCCCTGACGACTAGTTTGACCCATATACTTGACCTCACAGTCATTACATGGTATTTGATAGATTATATTATTTTGCTCAACTGGTTCTATCGGATCCTTAAGTCAACAAAGTTGATCTCTCATTCCAGCTCTGTTGAGGATTCTAAGTAAAGTTCCTGCGGTACCCTCCTTATAGGGTAATACAATGGAGGCTGTAATGACTATGAGGTCAAGTATATGGGTCAAACTAGTCGTCAGGGCTCAGTTAGAATAGCCAAACATAGGCATTTAGCTAAATATAGAATGACAGACCTAAATAAGATCAATAATCTAGAAAAACACTCGGCTATTGCAATACATGCATTAACACAACCACACAATAGGGTGGGATAAAGCCACTGTACTGAAGTCCAATATAATTAGGTGGAGAGAGAGAGAGAGATTGCTGAATTTAAACAGCGTAATGAGAAGACGAAGATTATCTGAAATATGTGATGCATTAGCGCTATGCATTTCGAACAATCTGATCACACATGGACTTGTCGAACTATTTATATGAAAATTTACGAAAAGGTCAATGAAGTTAATGGGAAACATAGGAATAGGAAGGGATAGAAAAAAAAAAGAAAACCTTATTCTTGGTATGAGCCGTGTTCATTTTCTGTAGCAGGCACATTGCATCATCAGGCTTTTCACATATAATGACTATATCATCACCATATCTTACATAGCTTTGTTGTGAGGAAAAGACTTAGGTCGGCCATCTGTAAAACGTATTATGCAGTTAAGGTCATCATTGTAGAGAAGACCAAGTCCATGTTACAGCACAAACCGAAACAACATATAAACGATTACATCACATCCCACTGTGTTTACCAATTTACATGTATGTGTGGACACATATATAGGGAGGAGTATTCGTAATATGCAGTTAAGGAAGGTTGAACAGATCCGATAAGTGCAGGTGACAAACATCCATCTTCGTCTATCGCTAAACATATACTACAAACTAACCATAGGACAGACATGAAAACAGCCTTTAAAGTACTATATAAAAGTGGTCAGAGCCGAGTGCTTAAATTTATTGAAGCTCTTGCCATCCGTAAATTTAAACCCCTTTATGTATACAAAAACAATTTGTACTCACGTTGAACCTACCTTGGTAGTATTGATTTTAATTTTCATACCAAGAATAAGGTTTTCCTTTTCTATCCCTTCCTATTCCTATGTTTCCCATTAACTTCATTGACCTTTTCGTAAATTTTCGTATAAATAGTTTGACAAGTCCATGTGTGATCAGATTGTTCGAAATATATAGCGCTAATACATCAAATGTTTCAGATAATCTTCGTCTTCTCATTACGCTGTTTAAATTTATCAAAGGGACCAGTTGCTTTAAATGATTACTGAATTTTTGTTCATCGAATCAACACTCTACACATGTAATAGAAATGACGCAACACCTATACCAGAGATATAGAAAATTTGCTACCAATAAAAACAACTCATATAAAGTGACGTAACTATAAAAATCAAATGTCGAAAGTAGTGTGATTACATTTATATGATTATGAGCAATAATTTATGCTCGAAACGTCATCAAGTGAATAATACTAGATCACTGTGTGTGTGTGTGTGTGTGTGTGTGTTTTAAATCAAATAAACAAATCTAATATGGAATTAGTTTCTGCCACAGTGCCCAACTTTTGCATCTAATAAGAACTGGCTGTCGTTCCTCCATGGCATAGTGAATAATGCCTTGGCGTTTGGAGAGATGGGTACGAGGTTCGAGTCTCAGTGGGAACAACACTGGCTGGCGAGTCCCAAATAGGACGAAACGCGCATCCTAACTTCCTCTGCCAGCAGCAACCAACCGAGTTATCAGATTCATACTCTTGAAAAGGATCTTACTAGGAAGATTGAAACGTTGAGGAATGATACAAAATATTTCTTTATTTTGTTATGTTTCAATATACTACGCTGGGATTACACAAGTGAAAATACACCTTATACTATATATCAGATTAGTATTCCGAAAACCATCGGAGTAGTTAGTGAATAGTAACTACTGACGATGAAAACACTAAGGTCACTTTTACAGAAAAACTGGATCCAACAAAAAAGCATCCCTCATATCGATGAAACCTAGCACCATCTCCAGTCTCCTATAAAAACAGCGTTAAAGACTGTAGCTGCTTCTCACAAAGTGGCTACAAAGGGCTAGTGGATCTCAGTAACTTTTTCAGACTAAATGGATGCAAGTGAACGCATCCCTGCAGGTTCCAGGCACAACAGCGGAAGCAACTCAAATTTCAACTGACAAATAGTCTATCCAACTATAGCTAATAATGGCGGGTAGCGAAGGCTGAGGAGATGAAAAAGGAATCAGCGATAAGTAACCGTGAACAGTAACTCAGAATTATCAAGGGAACTGGTGTGAAATGTGCAATGGTTAGTGAGACAATGATGAAGAGGGAGAGGCCTTAGCAGATCTACAGTATGCAGATGACG